TTTACTCTCGGATATTGCCGGTCGCGAATTCGACCTCCGGTAACTTCCCAACAGGAAGTATATAATATACAATTGAATAATGAATAACAAATTATTAAATGGCGGTAAAACAAGAAAATAATGTGTCCAGCAGTTAATAAATAACAAAACTGAGCTAGTGTAAAATTTGGAAGTGAAACTACTCTTTTGAGAAGAAATTCATTGTCACTGTCGACAAATCTTACACAAATCCAACGATATTTCAGACAATTTTATAACAAATACAGGAAATCTGAAATCAAACAACAAATATTTCGCGTAACAATTGTAAAAATGTTAACAAAAACTGATGTTAAAGAGTCTATCTGTCCGAGAATCATGTTAGAAATATTTCAGTTTGTTAAGATGAAGAGATCTTATCAAACAATTTATCTCCAATATTACAAGTTTTACTGGGTTAAATTCAATATTCATATTGAAATAAACTGTATGATAAACCGTCTGTATATTCTTATATGAAATAAATATATATTGATCATATTGATATAAAAAAAGGACATAAGAACATTCAGTGAATTATTATTGATTAATTCGCTATCATCGAAAAAAAACTTTTCCTTTTAACCGTTATCATGGTGACAGTCGAGTTTTTCAACAACAAGATTTTCATGCATCTCTGCAGAAGAAGTCTTTTGTGATGTAATATTGCTAATCGTTGTAAGAGATCTACATTAGTCCAGAAGTAAACTATAGGGAATCACGGGGGGGGGGGGTGGGAAGATGGGGTAGCCTTCAAGATGTAATAATCAAATAGGGGTAATCACGGGTGGTAGCCTTTAATCTGTAATCTTTAACACTTTTAAATTAACATCGGTGTGGTGTTTATGTAAGTAATTAGAAACAGATGGTAGTATACAAAGGAGACCTATCCCATGTCGGCAGGGAAGGAGACACTGAGAGATTAAGAAACTATAGGGGTATAGAAAAGGAATCGGTCAGGCATGGCAATTAGGGTTAATAGGGAAATATTTCATATGTTGGCCATCTGGGGGGAGAGATAAATAGGAGTGTAGTTAGGGTTTGGGCATTCATTCTTTAGCTGGAGTCTCGTAATTCTAAGAGTCTTGGGTATACTTCTTGGATTTAGTGTAGATCTCCCGTTATTGAATGAAAATAAAGTGTTGTTAATATCTTAGCTGTTATCTTATTTGGAAAGTAAATTCATAGCCGATAGAAGTCCGTATCCAGTCTCTTACCGACGACTATACAGTTGGTAAGAAAAATAATCTACTTTGCAGTTTGCAAGTAGAACCCTACAAACAAGCAGCTTGTCTACAGTGAAAAGAATCAATTCTGATCATTCATTGAAAGTCATGTTAAGGAGCTGCCCTCAATCCTATAGACATACTCTACACAATATGTATAGAATACCCCTGTTATCTCGAGCGGTAGAAATTAACATTAAGAAATATCGCAATTCGATATATATTATCGAAATAAGTGATCGTAGGAAACTTTGGCATTAATTTCATACGATTGAACATGAATGCGGACAATCCCCGTTGTATGTGGTCTATAGGACAGACAGGAAACCACAAAAATCCATGCTATCCACTCAAAATAATTTCGTTTTACCTGTCAAAGGGTTTAGAAGCTGCGGGTGGAACAGAAGATCTTGGTGTTGCACGATGCTGTCTCAGTTGCTCCCGACGATTATTTATCAGTTCTAATTGCCGCCGCTTTTCTTGTCTTAACTTTTTGTCAGCTTCTTCTAAATTATGTAGTAATTGTTCGGATTCAACTACGTGAGGCTGTAAAAAGAAAAGAATCAACATAATATACTTAAACAAGTGATTCTTCAAATGCCCATACAGCTATAAACTATGGTACAGGATAGGAAGCTACGAAATCAAACTGATACGAATTTCATACAGGATATAGGATTTTGTACGGCCCTTTCAGATCTATATCATTTTGATCAGAACGTTTTCAAACAACATGCCTTACCATTGTTGTGAATGTTCTTCAACAAGTTTGAAGTAAGGTTTTCAAAACATTTCATATAACATTATATGAACCTATTTCGTATCTTACATCATAACAAAGTATTATGTAGTATGTATAGTATTAGGACTACAAGTTTCAAAAACAGAACCACGAAGTGAAAGACATAAGACCTTACATTAGCATTTCAAATCTTCAAATAGTTTCAATACATTTTTCATTTATTTATCATCATCATTTCGTCCATCATAATAAATGAAAACGGAGCGCATCGCAATGCTGATGAGAAAGTAGAATCAACCAACGATTTCTCCAAGATGGAATCTACAGTAAACATTTCATCAATATCCATCATTATCATAAATCAAAGTCTATATTATTTCATGAACATGTCAAATTGAAGTAAAATAGTTCAGAGTTATTCCTTCCTCAATCTCAGTCAAAAGAAACAAATACTTATATACCAGTCAACAAGCCAATTAAAATTATTGTATAATCAATAATCAATATTATTTCAATTGTAAACTGAAAACCAAAAAAAAAAATAATGGCAATGTTGGAATTTAAATTCTTGATGTATGACTTTTTCTTCCGGGTTCAAATCTATTAAAGGAATTTAGAATGGACATACAATTTGGAGTCTTATTCTTGGCCAATACGAGTACATATTCATAAGTTTGACTGAAAAACGCTTCTTATTTAGAATATCATTACTGAGTTTATTGGATTGTAGACGGATCCACTGGCGAACAAAGACTCATTTTGTCCAAGTTGAAAAAGTTTTTTGGTCATCCTAAGAGGTAGTATACCTTTAATATCTGACGCGTCGGCAACGTTTATATGCACATAATATATTAATGTCCCATGCTGCAAGCAGCTTTCAAAATGTACGTGTCGATCATTTAGCTACGCGAGAAGATGAAGCAAGATGGTCGATCAAGAAATTCAGTTAGCAGGTTTATAACCTACAACAATATATAATATGTAAGAGATATTGCCAATACCGTTATCTTTTTGCACAATAAGGTAACTTAAAATTGTGTAAGTTTAGTCAATTGTATTTCTATTTGGTATTCGTTTTTGTTGCCTAACTCATATAAAAACTTGTTGCTTTTACAGTGTCTTGGGTCTGAAAGTAGGTTATATAGTGAAAATTTCACATATTTTCTTTTGAGAATGTTTGCATAAAATATATATTTACAATCATATTTAGTGCTTCATTCGTGCTTTTGATGGAAGAATATGTTTTACCTAAACCGTGGTTATAAATGTCTGGCAACTTTAAATATTGAACTTATCGAAGTCACTCAATAAATAGTATACATTTGAATTTGAAACTTATAACTATTAATGGATATTTTGAATAAAAATAAACGGTTATTGATTTCAAAGAATACAGTTTTAAAGTGATGATGAAATGAATATACAGACAGAGTTTAAGTAGAGCTGTCTACAAGCTTTCGTTTTTTCCGTCATGTAAGTCGACCATACTCTCCAACCTAAAAATATTTTATCTTGCCACGTATTCAGAACATTGACAAATGCTTAATCAAAATCTACACCTTTTACCATTTTCACATACAATTTTCATTGATATTTGCCCTGGCCTTTCATATTACTATTTCGACAGAATAAAGTGTAAATCCAAATGGGTTTTATATTCTAAAAATTCTAATAAATAAATATTTAACAAGATTTACATGTGTTTCTATAATGAAGTTTAATATCGTAGGCGGATTACGAAAGAGACTATTCTAGACTTTAATATAGATATTTCATAATAAATCAGAAAGTTTTTTTCATTAAGGCGGAAAGATTCCTGATTTTGAAATTGCATGGATATTTGAAGTGATATAACTTTTTAAATTAATCAAGATGATTGAAATTGATGTCTATCAACTGTGAAGGCAAATATTTGTACGGTTGCGTTGCATGAACCAAACGCTTCGTTCAACAGCGTCATTTTCAAAGCAATAATCAACATGCATTTCATACATCAATCATTTGATCATCATTGCTTAACTACAAAGTCATCAAGCATACATTATTGTCAGATCATAAATGGAAAGTTGAGTAACATACAGAAAATAATATGACACAAAAAATTAAGGTGCGATGAATATAAGAATGAACGACTCGTTTGATTCAATGTTGTGTCTTGTCTTGATTTTTTTTCTATAAGTGAATGTACCGGACTTAGGTAAAGTCTTGTCCAAATGCTGCATCATCAACTGCAGGTCGGTAAAAGCTAATTAAGATCTTTAAAATATCTATATCATGGTGGAGTATATACTGACTAAATGAATGTGATTTAGATATCTTTATTATAAATAAACGTCAATTAGTTTATGTCAATATTCAATAATAACTATTTACCTATTGATTCAAACTTTAATATCATTTCTATATACTTAGAATAAATGGTAATTGATGTTATTACGAAATCTTAAACCAACGCCACTAATTATATCTAGGCCTTGGCTATAACTGACAATAACAATTGCATATATAGTGTAAGAATGTCACGCTTATTTGGAAAGCAAACCATACAATCAATTTTCGTGGGCAGATTTTGGTTACGGAATTTTGCATTCCTAAATAAGATAAACCGGATATGACGTCCTTTAAATTAGTATAGACGGTAACTAACGTAAACAAGATAGGAGTATCGACAAACAGAATCGATTTAACAATATACTTACCGATTTTTCATCAAAATCAAGATTTATAGGTGTTCCAGGCAATTCAGTGCTCTCTATATTTCCTGATATAGATTGTATCCTAGAAGTTGTTACACTGGACATATCATCCGGTTGGAAGATCGTTCTGTACGACTGCTGGTAATTAATATTACTTTCTTTTGTCGGAGTTCCAGGCGACTTCATTTGGGATTCTGGAAACCTCGGTGACTTCAACTCACCCAGATGATTGAAATTCTCGGCCACCTTCTTGATGAAGTCAGATTGTTTTTGATTTCTCGATTGATTTCTCAGACTTAAGTGTCTTTTTTTGTCAGATGGTAGTTTAGTTCTAGATTGAGCATGAGCATAATACATTGTAAAATTATTGACCACAATCGGGACCGTAAACGCAACAGTAAGGACACCACACATAACACACAAAGAACCAATTATATATCCTCCTTCACTTTCAGGAACTTTGTCCCCATATCCTACCGTTGTCATGGTAACAAGTGCCCACCAGAACCCTGCCGGTATACTGTTAAAGTTATTCGTTTCGACGTAAAATATCACACTGGCAAATATCAGAACACCACTAAAGAGAAATATTACCATCAACAGTAATTCTTTGGTACTGACTTTAATCGTATATACCAAAATTTTAAACGCTGTGTAATGTTTCATCAGTTTAAATATTCTTAAAACTCGAACGATTCTGAAGGCTAAGACGGACCTCAGTATGTTACTAGTTGTATCGGCCGGATTAATGGATTTTAGCGAAATAGCCACAAAATGTGGGAGCAAACATAACACATCAATAATATTTAATGGCTTCCGAAGAAAAACCAATTTTTTGGGAGCAAAGAAAATTCGAGTCAAATATTCAAGTGTAAAGAATCCTGCACACAAATAGTCTAAATAGATCATGACTGGATGCGGTTCACTTCCAGATAGAGACATCTCATTAGGCACATTCAATTTACAACAGAAATTGTTGGTTCCTTTATATGCACAAGGGGCTTCAGTAGTGTTTGGCACTGTTACACCAGGGAGTGCAACTCGAAACAAGGTGTGAGTTTCCAAAACAAAAACGCCAATAGAGATCAAAACGAAAAACATGGAAAGGAGTGCGTATGCCTAAAAATATAAAAAAAAAATAAATAGAAACCTTCAGGTGGAAATTACTATTATCAGAAACTCAAATTATTGCTTGTAAAACTGAAATTCCATTTTGACAAAAGGTATTATAACTTTAAAAAAGTCTTTTAATGATATTAAGCAATCGTAAGTACGACATACATAGACACAGCTTTATGGAATAGCAATCATTGGTTAAAATTTAATGCAACGTGTTTCTTCGAAACGTTTCATAAAACTTTAACTAATGGTTACTTAATATTCCATAATGTAACTTAATTGTTGCAATTGCCTAACTATTCACCAACTGCGTTGTTTGCAAATAATTCAATTCAAAGTTTCTTTTTGGTTTTGACATGTTACGATGTAAAGAATTAATATCTCATCCTCGTGGAACAAGTATAGCCTTTATATAGCAGGTCATAGAATCAGTAAAATATTCATAACAGCATACCTTTGCCCCTCTTGAAGAAGTTGGATCTTCAAGAAATATCCACATTTTTCTTTTGAATTTGGTAAACTTGGTTGGTTTCTCTCCCCATGCGTCTTCGTCTTCAATCTGACCAGAAAAGTTATCATCAAGAGCTGCCAATGTTTCTTTATTGTCTCGAAATCTACTGTAGTTACCCCAGCAACATGGTTCTATTTCCGTCTCATCGAGACCCCAGAAATTCAGCTCCTAAAACAAAAAAGGGTAATTATGGAGCATAACATAACCTACATACAGGTTTGGGAGACACTGCATAATTTTCGATATCGTAATTAGCATTTTTACGTCTCGCTTTAAAGTCGGTATAGACAAATGGAGTTTTTTTCTTACAAAATGTATATATTAACACTGTTACATATCAGAATACGTAAAATATAGGTCTCAAATATATAAATACACTGGTAGGCTATATTTACAAGAAGTGAATGTATCTTTTCTAATATTTTCTAAAGTAGGTAAATTGGTCACTTGCAACATTGGACACAGAAATAGGGTAACATGGTAAATACGGTGAAAATTTTTATATATTTCTTTTGTAATACTATACGTTGATCACATCTAAAGCAATATGCATGTGGGTTGAAATAGAGAGGCAGGGTGTTTCCTGTACGGCGTACGACACGGGATTCTCAATAATAGAGAATAGAAGAAGCTAACAATTTCCGCATCCCTCATGTATTCCCATATGCCGAAAGTTTATGGCTTATTTGTCTTAATCCTATTGCTTTTCTATTCCGATTTAAATGGGATTTATCACCGAGTTTAATTGACCCTCGCTTCTATATGTCGTTCAAATCTTATATTTAATTGACCCGTATGAGAAAATAATAAAATGAGAGAAAAATTCTATATCAAGGGTGACAAAAGACAAATTCCATTAGACCAATATATTAGGTATAACTACCAAAGATAGATATAGGATAAGCCTGGATCGCTATCAGGAATCATAGATAATTTAAGGAGCAATCTACCAACACGGAGATAAAAGACAAAAATTAATGGATAGCTTCCATTTTCATAATATAATAAACAGAAGAGGACTATAAATAAATATCAGTTTTTTTTCTTTCTATGCACACCAGATATTGATTGTCTATTTATTTCCTGTTATTACAGTTATAAATTAATTAAAAGTATCCATAAGTGGAATTGATATGACCCAACACAAAAAAAAGATTGTCTGATGACAATTATTGTATTATTTACTTGGGTAATATCCACTGGCCTTATCGTGATTAAAGGAATTATTAATAATATTAGCATACTTTCTTTTCATATACTTGTATAATACAAGTCATATCTACCTGGATACTTTAAGGTTGTTTTCTTTTCAACTCATATCTCACGTGAGAATTATAATAATAGACCCAAATATAAGGAAGAAAAAATATGGGAATGATAAAAAGATGATAATAGTCAATAAAAGCCTACAATATATTTTGTCAAGCGAAAATTAGATTGCATATCTCAATACCCATGAGAAATATTTAATAGTGATTTAAATACAATATTGTTCATATGAAACGTCATTGTTCATTTTTATTTTTAGTCCCTGGTGATTAAAACATCAGTTATGCATCTTTTGAGAACAAAACTTGTATAGCCAAGAGAACTTGATAGAATGTCAATAAAAAGATATTTATGATGTAATCAATTTCATACTTAAATACTTATATAGTTAACAATAAATTTCACAATAGCATTGTTTCATTGCATACTTATGATTCTATAATATCATTATCTTACATGTCATAAATACTTATGTATCTATTTGTCTTAAATACTTATGTATCTATTTGTTCCGCTACAACGAGTTTTGGTACTTATAGTTATTGTAGTTAACAATTGTCACATCCTGTAGATCCTGAAAATATAAACTTAATCTTATTTGAATTTCTAGCAGTTAAAACGTTTTTTAAATTCTAAAATAAATACAGAATATTGAACATCCGTTATGTAGCAATCATTGAAAAAAACAACAAAACATTTTTTTAATTCTTGTTTTTGTTAAATTGTTAGGAACGGAGATTGCTGTTGTCGTTTAACAACTGACAACAAATTCTACTCTCAATCAATACATTAGATCTTGTTATGAAAAATACATCAGCGTGAAAAATTACATGGAAAATCTTTCACACATGCTGCAAACGTGAATTATATTTGAAAATTCGAACTATGCAAACAATTAATAACATATCAAGTTCAATCAAGAGCAAAACCAATAAACTCAAAGGCTGTTTCTAAACTCTTTTGTAATTTTCTTTCTATAATAATATATATAATTTTGTTATTTTAATAACAGAATATGACATCGATTTGTTGAAGACATCAACAACAAGAATCACTAAAGTTTCTTTTCTATGATATAAAGTAACAAGAAATTTCAATTACACCTTTTGATACAGTAAATATTAGAATATAATTTGATTTGAGATTGGTCAATAATCAATTCTATCTTACTCGAGATTAGAATAAAAACGCTGCTTTATACTCATTATTTTTCAACACGTTTCAGATTAGTTTTAACTTCTTTTTTTCAGTTTCACAATGAAACCCCAATCCTAATTGAAGACTTATTGTGAAAAATCTATAATAATCTATAATAATCAATATAATTATATCTACACAATTTTTCATTATAATTAAGTCCGAAAACATTACGATTAAATTAAGCATCTGGAAACTGCTTCAAATAGCTGTATAGCATGTTGGATACCCGAAAATTGTACGAATACGATTTCTTAGTTACGAAAACTAGTACATGCAGTAATATGTGTCTCGTGGCAGTGTCTGCTATCAAGCGGTACATTAATACTTGGAATAATAATAAATTATTTTCAGATTAGAAAAAATAAGATAGCTGCAATAGAATTGACTGAGATTATCTTCTTTACTGATCAGAGCACAAACGTTACAAAATAAGAAACCTGAACAAAGCTTAACACATTTATGTAAATACTGCTTCGAAAGAAATAGATTTTCTGGCATATTTCCCTGAAGAATGGGTCATGGATTCTTTTTAATTATAAATGAGCTTCGTGAAAACAGATCGAATCAGATTTCAACAAAATTTGACTTTCTGTGAGACACAAAGGTTCCTATTTTCATGTGTTGGTATATAATTATGATAATCATGACAATAAATCTAAACAGACATGTATAATAAGTAAAAGGAATCAATAGGTTCGATCTATATCTATCACAGGCTATGGAAAGAACCAGTTAACCTTGGTAATTTAAATGGACATTAATTATAGTGTATTATCCAGTTCTATTCAAACTGTGTCTAGTACAATCTCATTAGCACGTTAGAAAGAATATATTATTATACTATTACCAGTTAAATAGCCATTATTATTAGTACTCTTAATTTTAGAAACTTGTCTCATGAAATCTAAATATTCGAATACAACAGAAAGTTACTAACTGAAATGGAGTTGTATCGACGAGCATCGTCATGAAATGCACATTGAAGAACGGCTTTTTGGGTCTAAAGGATGGGACCTTATCTTTTGTCCTGTCCGATTAACTGAACGCTTTGCTTTTATCAATGTAAGCTTCATCGACCTGCAACATTGACAAGGGTAACCGGGCAAACAACGGTTCCTTGAGGTAGTCAGTAAGCCTGTAAATGACTTGTTCCATCCAATCTGAATATTTACATGTAACGCCATCCAAATTTTCAAAACAAACCGTAAAAATCTCTATGCAGAAGTTTTGATTGGACGGTTTTAACACTACATGTACACTATTTCTTGGTCCCTGGTATTACGAGGTTTATCTGTTAAAAGGAATCGCGGTTTACATATGAATAGTTTCAGACGCGTTGAAGAGAAGATCACTTGTATTCTGCCTCGGGATACAATCACTTTCGACGAAATGTTGTATTTATATTCAAGGTTGTTAGAAGGTGATCAAGATCATCAAATTCAGAATATAACCATGAACGTCTGGGTCAATGTTTTTCGAAAAAACCCTTTGTGTCAAAATAAATTTTAGACAGCCAGCTTTGAGAAATAATGAACTTGTTTTTCTTCTTTTTGAAATGAAAGAGGTAATAGAAATGTGTTGAATTATTGGTAATAATTAAGACTAGGGCATAAGAAACGTGAGTTGAAAGCTAATTGTTATAGAAATGTCAGAAGTTGACTGCCTGTCTCTTAATAATCGATTTCTGATTGTATCAGTAACATTTATACAACTATACGGCTCATTATCCAACACTCAATAATATTTCTTAAAGGGAATATAATCATATATAGGCCTACTGTAAGATAATTTCAAAGACCCTACTGCATGGCGTTCAAACAATATCGTATTTTATCATACGAAAATGTAATCGTTTCAGATCAGAACCAAAATGTAGCTTCAACAGTGCTCAAAAGCTAATTTCGACAAACAATTATAAATTATTGCAATGCCAAGGCCTACCAAATAGGCTACAATGTACCTCCCAAAAGCAAAGGATAACACTCACTATTCATTAATTTAGTACATGATCATGCATGAGCTACTGTCCAGACTGACTTGGGTGTGTTCAGAATATTGAATGTCGATACATTAAAAGTTTACCACCAATATCAGAAAGACGAGGAAGAAAACCTTCGCTTCCACTTCCAATACCAACCAATGGTTAATATAAAACAAGTTCTATATCCGGAGAGAGAACATGGGTCGGGTGTAATAGACAGTGGTTCAACTTGAGGAGTGGGGGCCGGTGGACTTAAGTGGGTTGGGGCCCTCCCCGGAAAGTTTTTAATATATTAAAACATTTTGACCTCCTGCACTCTGGGACTCCTCTGAAAGCCAATTTAATGTCTGTTAGTGTTGATGGAAGATTTAAAGACTTTCAATCTGCAATTCATACTATTTCACTAATTTATATATACTACTTGCTTAGATTGAATATAATTATACTTTGCAACATTCTCTTTTACAGACTCAAAACAACTGGCTTAAAATAGTGCTTATTCAGAATCATCGATACTACACGGCACATTCGTAAGCCTATACGCTGATTGATCAGTGGTCAAGTGGTCAATGCAATAGGCAAAAAAGGCTTCACCTCTAGAACTGCAACACCAAATAACTATAAACAAAATGAAACAAGCTACATAGGTACTGTTTCTAACTTATATTAAAATTTAAAGAAAAAAACCTACTTCAATGAGAACCTTGTGTCTTAACATCTGGAACTAACGTGGTTGATTTCAGTCATAGATCGCCATGTCATCGCCAAATTCCCCCCTTTGATTATAATTCACCTCCAATACCCCATTTCAATTTTCACCTCCAAGAATTTCGAATTGCTGGATGTGCATACGGACCTAGAACCAGAACCTAATATAGCTATTTTAATTCTATTCTGCCCGAATAACATTAACTTTTAATTCAATTCTATATTGTGTATGCACCCCATAGAATTACCTTACATATATTTACAAATGGGCTAATTTAATGCTAAACTTCAAGTTGGTCGAGACCAGTTTTAACTTTTAATTCTATTCGTAAATCAGTAGAAATTCCTTTTGTCGCTCTCCGATGTTTCAAAATGGACGATTATTTCGACGATTTAGATGAACTTGGTGAAATCAACCGTGTTATTCCCATCAATCGCATCGCCTGGACCCCTTCACATGGTTTTCGGAGGAGGAATTTAAAGCAAGGTTTAGATTGAATAAGCAATCGGTGTTGACTATCACTAATAATATCACTAATGGATTCCATATCAAATTTATTATGACGTTCATTTGCTCCTTCGAAGAATAGAATGAATTAAAGATATCGTTTGATCTTACTCTTGTTGATAATTGTCATATAAGCTGTAAGACACCAGATGAGAGTCTATAGAGTTTCGGACTACAAGACATACACACTACATATACAGCAGTGATTAAAATGTTAAATAAGAAATATGTCTTAGTGACCATTCTTTAGACTATTTTGATATATAGATTGTGTATAGTGTGTGGTTCGAATGGAAAATATAATTTCAATTACAGTACAGATCAATATATTTAGTTAATTGTTAGTTGGTGCATACAAAAAATAGAATAATCTTTAAATACATTTAACTAAATCTAAGGTTTAAAATAATTCTATTCTTCTAGCTGAATGATAACCGTAAGATAGTAATGGGATTATTGCTTAATTATTTCATCACATTGAACTTTTTTGACATTTTGACACCTAATATTATTAATTCAACGCCTTATTATTTTATGTGAAGAAAAAATCAAAATTATTATTTCCAAACCTCTTCGAGATGTATTTTCAACATACATGTATATTGAGAATTTAAACTCAACAATGGACAAGAGCCATTTATGTGGATTCAGCCTACATCTAATAGACTTGAGTGATCGTTAAGCAAGATGCATATATATAACTTGATATAATAGAATAGCTACTTTCAATCAAAAAAATTATTCGGTTGCCATCGGATACCAATAAAATAATTACAAAAGACTTAAATTGAAGACTTGTTTTAATTTGAGTTTTATTGATACAGATAACAATAACCAATATAGAAGTATTTTTGTTTAATTGTTAAAATTTGTTATCTTAATTACGGCAAATTAAAGCAGACATTTGTTTTAGTATTCAATAAGTTATTATTTTATTAATTAAATAATTAATCATCATTATAAAAATAGCTTTAAATAGTTCAGAAATGGTTTTCCTGGGTGGTATTTACGATATTCACGTCATATTAATCAAGTTATTTTCGAGAATTAAATGCACATCAATACTCAACGTTTTAGATGCAGAATTTTTATGCGATTGGTATCATTGTCGGCAATTCGGTAATCTTCAGATAATTCAACATGAGACGCCCACTGCCCGGAGGAGTATAGGCCTGCGCAATCCTTGGTAGGCTACCTTAGAAATCCTTTGCAAACATGTATATTGAAAATTTAATGAAAAATGAGTTTATTCTGAGCACAACCATAACGTGGATAATAGCAAATAGCTGAATAAAATACAGTACATAATTGATTTATTTGAAACAAAGTTTGATCTGATGTCGAATTGAACCCGTTTTCTCTTTACTTTATGACAATAACCTGTGATTGTCGCCATCGAATCACATCGACACGTGGTTTTTGTGCGATTGTTTGTACAAAGATCGAGATATTAAACCTACGTTGTCATTATTTCATCGCAAGAACTTACCCCTTTTATAATATTACCACATATATTATGATCTGTGTGTAGTTCATCACTTCGGTAATAATGTAGAATTGCTGGAAACGCACCAGGATGTCTATCAAAAAAAAACTCATTCGTATCGGGGTCCCATGTTTCGTCTGATTCTAGTAGGTTCGCCAACACCGCAAGTCTTGTTCCAGGCCGTAGTTCCAACGTGCTTTTGAATGTTTCGAACCTTACACCACCAATATTAATTGTTATCTTTCTATCTCCCAATTTATTAATAGCGTCCATTTTATCCTGATAGTGATGGTCTCTGAATTTTAACTACAAAATAATGTACATTCCCATATTTACAGAATACAAAGAATCACACATTAAATGATATTAAGTCACGTTAAATCCATATTAAAATCAATGACAGACATCATGTAAGTTGATACTGAACCAATTGAGAGTAGTTCTATACAGTAAATATTCTAGCATGCCATTAATTTGAAGTATAGTCAAAGTCTGAAAGACAACAACTCGGCGGCACTTTATGTCTGTTAGTAGCTAATTGATAAATCATGAGAGATATAGAACATAACGAGACACATGGAATGACTGACAAACCGGTTCTACTTCTTTATTAAAAATTCAATTTTCCTAACAGTAGATTGTCATCTAATTAAGTATATTGTGTATGATCATTGAGAGCTGTATCTGAGTTTCCTTTTCTTGTTATTATATGGGTCTAATTAATTATATATTATGTAATTATGGTTTTCAAAGGAAGAACACGCGGTTTATTACGAACACAAAACGTTTTTTAAGCGAAATTATAACAGGTGTGTTGCAATTTGACCATTAAAGGGACTCATTCGCCATTGTCGGGATTTGATTTGGGTCATGAATATATGTAAATAGTACAAGAAATGTACGAAAATCGTATAATTCCTTCAGATATTCTTTTTGTCTTTTCTGTATGTCTTGACTGTATTTTCTAGCATATAATCCAATCAAATTGCTACATTCTTCCGAAATACAAGAATTATAGTCAAGGTATAATACGACGTTCGTAGTAGCTTGACATCGTTAAGATGCCTTATATATAATGTGGTGTATTTTGGATGCTTATAGTTCCAGCTTACATTTTTCGTGTTACACTAAATGATATTTCTAACTTCAGCTCAATCAGTTGTTGAATTGTTAAAAAATAAGCTTGATAAAATGATAGAGGTCGAACAGTTACACAATTAAATAGTTTATTGATTACTGGAGGAGCATCGGATTAAAATGCACAAAACAGGACATGTTCCTTTAGCAACTGTGTACGATGGTTAGATGTGATAAACGTCTTATTGCACCGTTGCTAAAGGAACGTGAAAACATGTAGGCGATGCAACTAGCAATGGGGGCTTAATATCCGCGTATGAATCAAATTAGAATGTTATTTCTTCATTAACAACAGGAAAAACTTAATTATTCAAGAAGGATGATGTCGTATTATTTAATGTGTCAAAGGCAGGTGCAATGAATAATTGATAGAGGACGACAAAATAAAAAAAGTTGATTACATTATCTTGTTTGGAAACAGGGTCATTTTGTTAAATGGACTATTGTGATTCTCAGTTTAAAAAGCTTTGTCAAATTCGGTCATATTTCAGGTTGGTAAGAAGGAAATTAAAAGTAAACCACCAGTCAAAACCCTTGATAAGCTGATCGATCGAGTTACCTGTCAATATTGTGAAAGTAACATCTGTCTCATAGCTACAAGACCAACAGTGCCAAATCATCCAGTTGATCCAGATATGTAAACCATGTAAATCAGAACCGGAACCAGAACCTAGTGCATATATTATAGGATACGCTCGCAGTCGGCGCTTACCAGCGTTCGTTTGGGCATATGATTATCTAGTCCGAAACATCTGCCTCTATTCCAGCCTCTGATGGATATTTATCAGTGTTGTCAGCTGGAGTAGAGTCAGGTGCGTTTTCTCTAACATAATATGGAATTAGCTTAAAGCTCCAGGTCCAGGCATCCATATCTTTACCTCTTTTCTATTTTTGAGGGGAAATTCATCAATATTATCAAGAGGCTGTGGGAACTATTTTATCTTCTGTTTTGGTTTCCATGAACACCAACCGAAATATTATCACCAATGGAAAGATCCGTAGGCCTCCGAAATATTATCACCAATGGAAAGATCCGTAGGCCTATTTGGCCTGTAGGCTATAAATTGTATGCCGAAGGGATATTAAGGCTAATTCTTCAGGCCCTATGTTAAAAGTAAACATTATTCGTGGTTCCTGTAAAGAAGATAAAATTTTCAAATCAAATCCAGACTCCATTTTTATTATATTATTGACATCAATGGACCAAATCTAGTAATAAATCGTACATGTAATTATATATTAGTTTTGTCATGTTCAGAGATTTCATGTTATATTCGTCTCTAAGCAACAGTTGATAAAAATATAAGATACACAATTGAGATAGACATGTTCTTTGAAAATAAGGTGGTGAAAAAACACATTGTTTTAACTGAGTATTTTTCTTTTTATATCGTGATTAACTCACAACTCAATTTAGTATTTATTGATTATATTGATTATTTGCTGTTTTATTCTTGCTGACAATAAGGCAAAATAGCAGTGCTTAATAAAGGGTTGTGATTATTCAAGGATTCAGTTATAAGGTTAAAAAGGTTGTCTTCTAATGATCATAATATTACGACTAATAGTCTGTAATAGACTAATCAAGTGCCTTATTGCAATCGAAACTGGCTTTTTTTAACCCTTAAAACCTGGCAACGGCACTGGCATCACCTAAACAGGCAAATGCAAGGTAGGCTAAATCTTTCCACTGCAATCGGAAACCAGCTCTTAGCCTATATGTCTATTATGTACCGTAACTGCTTTAGTTCGCGTGTGCTTTTTCATGAGAAGTTTTAGAACCTTAAATATGCAGATGGTCATAACTTTGCTAGCTAGTTTAATTCGAGAGGTATGTCTTTCTCCTTAATCAAAAACAGAAAATCACAAATTTTTAGAAAAAAGGCTCAAAGCAAGGCCCCAATTCTTATGCCAAGTTATGGCTCGATCATTTAAATTGGTCAAGGGGAAGCTACTCCAGATAAAAACACTCTTTTTCGTTGGCGGTGGAAAAAATATATTTTCATACAACAATGGAAGAATTAGAGGATGGTGAGGTTTTAGATTCGGATAGCGAAGATAAAGTAGTTAACACATCGTCAAAGGTAGACTATTTATCGTTATAAGACGTACCTAAGCTATGTAGACTGATATAATATTGCATTAGAGTTTGTATTGTTGAAGGTCAAGTGATTGTATGCTGTTTTCTGAACGTTGTATGTTGTATTGTATTGATGAATGAATTATTATTGGCGGTGTATGGGGTTAGCAGGTTACTATATCTTTCGAAATGAACATTTTCTTCCAATTACCTGTTTGTTACCGGGTCATGTAGAACTGCCTCTTTTCTTCTGCACATCACATGCAATGAACCTTGGACTACATCATGGCACATTTCAGACATCCATCCTCGCTGTGAGCTATATTATGTTGTAAATATTTATTATTTTAACTGACAATAAGAACAAATATTTTAAATGCAGTACCACTCTTACCACATCATCATAAGCTTTTAATTTTAAAGCTACATGTATAAGAATCAATAAGCTTACTCCATTATTGTATCAAAAGTAGCCTACCCATCTGAGGCTAGTTGCGCGCAAATTGAAACTATATCATCATACCGATGATCCAAACAGATATATACCAGTATTCCCTTCTCTTAAACTAAACTTATTCTTTTCTAACTTTCAGAATGGATGTACTGATAGAAATAAAGTACCTGTGCCTGATATTGTGAAAAGTGTTAATGACTCATTAGTTAGTCGTTATGCAGCTGTTCACTCATATAGAACAGCTAAACCACAAACTACAGGTTCTGATGAATCTGATGCTAGTAGTGATGAGGACTCAGACTTATGGAACTGTAAACGAGCAAAGTATCTTTCCAGTCAGCGTGCTCAGGATTTTTGTTCTGAACGTAATAATCCTAGTTACTCAAAAACTGAACATTTTATTCATTCACCTCGAAAGAAGGAATTTGCCTCTTTCAGTAAAAGCTCCTCATCTACATCTCATAAAAAGCGTGCAGGTAATAATATTTGGGGAGCTGTAATTCAGGAACAAACTCTGACACAAGACATTCATGGTTTTGGTGTTGATAAGGATGAAGAGTTGAATTGTGATCGTAATGTTGAAAGTTATGATTACACAAAGTCACATATTGATTCTAGACCGCATTTAGAACCAGATTTAGTTGCCGTAGGATCCTCAGCTAATGATGATCCTTTTGGAGGTGTGGTGGATTTAGAACCTAATGAAGGTGCTCAGGGATTAAAAAGAAAAAGGCCAGCCAGGAATAGAGTAGGAAAACGAACTTTTGACAAAGATAAATGTAGAGACCATATTGGTGTCACTTCAGAAGATTCTGTGCCACAGATAGTTAATGCTATGGTTAAGCAACTTAATGAACCCAAAGTGGAACTAATTAGTAAGTTTTGTTTCCTTTATGAAGTTGATTCTAACTCTTTTTAGGTGGCTCTACACCCATTTTACTCGGGTAAATACACTGTCTTCTGATTGTTCAGTTTCTTCTGAATGGAATTTGTCAGGGATATTGCCAATAACAATAAAGAGTTTTACATTCTGTTTGTAATTGTACTTGTCAATAATTCTAATTTCTATTTATAGCACGGGTTGTAGAAACATTAGGTAAGAAGAAATCATTAGAATTATTGTATCTAACAGAAGATATAGAAGAATCTGGTGGAATGTATGTTATGGTATGTATTACAATATAAAAGTATTAATTGTTTGCCACTTTCTACTTTATACAGTAGAGTTATTTATTGAATTCAGTAGTTTTCACATTACCTGGACAACCCTATGTAGTTTCTTTCGGTTATCCAAAAAAAATTTGATCTTGACTGCTCTTGAAGTTTTTTGTCGCAGATTAGAGTTTTGAAATCTTGCGTGTGCCTATGCTTCCACAAGAAGATTGAAGAACCAGTTTGATTGTTTCTCTGTTCTCTGTTTCTCTGCAAGACAGGATGTTATCATCCAATCAGATTCATTTTCCTTTCAATTGCATGCTCTGCACATGATAATCAACAATGTGGAAAACGTTCAAGAAGACTGTAGTCGGCAGTAAATGTCTCCAACCGAGACTGTTAGAATGTCTCGATAACACGAACAAATTATTTCATTTTTTCTAATTGACTTATTTTCCACATAGAATGGAGAAAGAAGGAGAACACCTGGAGGTGTTTTTTTTCAATTATTAAAAATGGATATGGATGTCACAAAAGCTCACATAAAACATATATTTGCTGAAGAAGAGAAGCTAAAAACGAAGGGTTATAGAGAAGCCAGGTATGCGAATTCAAACTTTACAGAGACAAAGTCTTATCTGCCTTTTGCCTAGTGGAGGCATTTTTAGGAGAGTTGAGAGGTTTTAAGCCTATGTTTATATACAGTCTCTAAAAGGCCTGTAGATAATGGAACATCTGGATTAGTATTTAGAATAAAGTTTCATAAAACCATGTTTCCTTTGACACTATATTTGTTGATCTGAATAAAATTATAACAGGCTAGAAATTGAGTCAAATTCTGAACTCCTAAATATATATTTGGTAATATTTATCTTAACTGGCCAGTATTTATCAGTTTAAAAAATTGAATTTTCTCATTTTTTCTATGCAAATCTTTCAGACGTAGAAAATTACAAGAGAAATCATCTAAAGAAAATCGAAATGATATGGAAGAAGATGATGACAGTAGGAAACCAGATACTACATTGTTAGATACTAATACATCAATAGACTGTGATGTTAGTACCTTAGATTCTATGAAAGATGATAGTATTACATTGGAGATTGCACCAGAAGATGAAATCACATTGAGTTAACCATGACTGATGGCAGGAAATTTTGTATTCATTGTACACGGAACTTATCCATTTAACTCAAGTTCCAAGTATTGTCATTTTAAACCGTTACGTTATGTCATGTGGGTTGTTTCCTTTATTTTCTGGTATGTCGCATCAAAACTAAGCCTATATCACCTTAAAATGCTGACAGGTATCTTCATTTTCGTCAGATAGCCATTGCATTTGACTGGCTTCAATATGTTAAAGTGAAATTGATCTTGCCACTATATTAACTAAACAGTTATCAAATTTTGGTGTGACTTGGTGTGTTTGTGTATATTGATAGCATCTTAGATGAGTGTTATCTTTGAAATATTGAATGATATTTATATTGATACTTGTAAAAATGGATTTTATGAATGTATTCTGGTGGAAGCCAAGGGGTATGAAAAACATCAAACAAGATTTATGAAGTCTCTTTTCACCTGCCTGCCAATTTATACATCATTTGGAGGTTAAAGATGGGTTCCCTTATTTTCATTTATGAAAATGCTAATACTTATATGAATAGAAAGTAGAGGTGTTCTAATGACTTGGAAATATATCTGTTTGTCTTATATGTCCATAATTAATTCATAATTAGCTAAATTAGAAGAGAAATACCAGCAGAATTCCAATGAGTGGCCAATCAAGAAAGGTCAAAAAGTCTCTTTTTTTTATCCAGACTGTACAAACATGGACATTTATGAATGGTTAAAACTCTTAATTATATGCAATAAGTACATTATATTATGATTCAGAATACCCGATAATTCATTAGAAACACCAATTAATCAAATAGTTTCCTTAATTTGACACTAAAAATATAAGGAAACCCATCTTTAAAGTCTTGCATCTTTTCATAATTCAATTGTTATCTTTAAAGCATATTTTCTTATCTGGTATAAGATATTTTGTGGAATTAAACTAAGATATAAAAAGTTTTAAAACCCAATTTGGTCATTGCATGTCTGTTACTGATATATTTTGTTCCTTGTTATTGTTACAATATTCCTTGACAGTTTTCTATTAAAATTCCTTGAATATAATATACATGTGTTTTTACCATATCAATAGACTTTTGCTTTAAGTTAGTATACTTGAGAATAGTAAGAAATCATTTGAACCATATCTAGCTATTGTTGTTCGTTATTAAAATACACAATGTCAAGAATGACGTGAGAGGATCATTGGAAACCATCTATATAACATCAATTTTGTGCTCCATTGATCTGATTACAAGGATTCTCGGTTTTGATTATCCTAGCCTTGGCCATAGGAAGAGGCTTAGTTAATCATAGCTAACTTGAGCCTGAATATTCAAATTTATGCTAATATCACACCACTTAATCTGAGACTTTAGAGTAGACCTTAATCAAAAAATTCATGCCTTTGAATGAAACTAAGAAATGGGTAAATGTTGTAAATTCCCGTATTTTGCACCAATAATAATACAAGGTATTCATTATCAATTCATTCTTTTTAATTGATTCTCTGGTGGTAAATTATTGTAATATAGGTATACTAATAGAACTTATATTACAGTTCTATCTATGGTATAATACAATTGTGGTACAATTATGAAATCTAAACGCATATAAACATTATTCTTTGTATGTAGGCTACCTATACAGACTTATTAATTTTTTCAAGAGCTTACTAAAATTCATCTAATAACAAAACAAATTATTTAACCTAAATACAAAATAATTTAATAGAAAATTTCAATATTTTCCTTTTAAATCTCAAAAGTATGAGCCTTTACATTTGAATCAGATTTCCATTAAAAAAGGGGGAAAAATATTTTTCGATAAATGATTCAAAATAGATCAACATTTACGTCCCTTTATGAATTGATGGAAGATCTAAATTGAAACAAACACACTGGGATTCAGTTGGAATGAATAATTCAAATATAAATGATGAATAATGATATACATAAACAATGGTATTACCAAAAATAAGAACCCACCAATACTAATAAAACTCACACTTTAGAACTTGGAGCAAATTTAAAAATTTAGGTCCAGGATAGTTATTTCAATCTACTTCTAAAGATAAGTACTATTATAAATAATAATGATAAAAATCAGCTTTAAGAGATTAAATAAGGTTTGATTATTCCTATATAAATATATGTATTTAGTAAATGGGTTTGTTATGGTATAGACAAGGAGTAGAAGTTATAATTTAACTAGAGACAAAAGAATATTGAAAAGAGTATTATAACAGAAGTAAATTTGTACATTTCAATTTCATTTTCAACATTTCTTAAATTTAAAAAAAAAACTGTTGGGGAAAATGAAGAAATAAAAGATTTCAATTTCTCTGTATAAAAAAGGTAACAATACTTGTAAAACATGTCAACAAAAACAAACAATGTTGAAATGAAAAGAAAGCTTGAAATCAAAATGTGTTCTAAAAAATAACCTTCATAACACTAAAAAATCTCAGTATAAGTTCAATATTTTCTAAATATCTATAGTGATCAATTTGTTTTCTACAAAATAGAATGACAAAAACCCTGAGCATTATATGTTTAACGTCATTGTTGAATAGCGATGTTTCATAGCACACCTTCATTTCATATACAACTCATTACACTTACTTTGTTTTAAAGGGATTTTAAAGAAATTTTCTATAAAAAAAAAAAGTAAGACTTAGCACCACTCTGATTTTCAATAAAACATCTGTGGCTCCTGCAATCCCAGTAAGGCTAAGAATATGATGACGTCACTAATCGTAAAATATGCTTTATCATATAAGGTCCTTCGCAATTAGTGCTTTCACCAGACACTTAGTTTTAGTGCTTGATGACGTCACAGACGTGTGATTGAAAATTAGAATGGTGCAAATTAATAATATCAATGTCCAATGACACACATACAAATTCAGAAAACTCCTTTACCTCTTTAAGGTATGAACCCGTCCTTTGATGACTTTTGGTTGAACTTTCAAAATTTGCAAGCTTCACATCTCAAATACAAATTATTTTGTTATATTGGTCCACCACAATACAAAAAGTGGCATTATTGCTGTTTAGAATGCTTACCTTTCTAAAAAAAACAGGGTCTTGGTTATTCAATCTAACTAATATTTCCCATTACACACACAAATATATGGTACCTGATTATATTCCCTATTAACAGTCAATATATAAAACACCCACTATGATAAAATATATGAACTTGTGATAATGGAATAACTAAGCATTATTAGGTCTGTTATTAAACAATAGATCAATGACACTCTCATCTGCTAGAGTTGATGTATCACCTAAATTTCTGTCCCCTACTGCTATCTTTCTTAATATTCTTCTCATGATTTTCCCTGATCTAGTTTTAGGTAAGGCTGGAGCATTCTGTAAGAAGTCGGGTTGAGCAAATGGTCCTATTTTAGTTCGTACTGAAATAAATTGATACCAATATGTACAATTTGATAAAAAAAAGCAACATACTTCTCATATGGGAAGTTAACCCCTATACCCAAATAAACTGTTCTAGAATGCATTCATGACAATTATTAATATTCTAATTCTATCATCCCACTAAAACTAAATATAATATAGATGACAGTTGTTGTATATTTTTAAGATATATATAAATATTTACCTATATTCTTCAATTCAACAACCAATTCATCTGTATATTGACAACCCTACAAATATATATTATCATATTAACTAGATGTCCTGATGAGGATTTTATATCCAAAACATAGATGAGATGAGCATTATATCAATTAGTTTTTAACAGATTGTAATCTAAGACTATCCCCTCAAAATCTGAATAAACTATTGAGTTTCTGTTGATCAGCATTGGTAAACTTACAATCAATTATAAATCTATGGTGACTCAATTAGACAACAAACTAAAAGATGTTAAATGTTACAAACCAACCACCATACAAACCCAAAAAATATACTAGCCTACCTGTTTTAATGTCACAAAACAATAAATACATTCTCCTTTTATTTTATGAGGATGTGAAACTGAGGCAGCTTCAGCAACATTTTTATGGGTGATTAAAGCTGATTCTACTTCAGCTGTAGATAATAAATGACCTGATACATTCACCATATCATCAATACGACCAGTAATCCATATATACCCATCACTATCTCTTCTTGCACCTGTAAGATTAGAAAAAATATAATCCTCAATTAATGAAACATAATACAAATAACAACACTAAAAGGGAAATGAAATTGTTGCTTTGTAATAGATTTCCTTTGATGTTTTTATATATTTCAATGGTGACTACCAACCAAGACTGGATATAATTTTACAGACAAAAAAAACAAAACACCCCCAATACTACAAATGAGCTCTTCCAATTCTACATGCTTATTTGTTTTGAAAGAGAGTATGCATGTGTAGAAGTGTTCACTAACAGTTGATGGGTGTCAAATGGATAACATGGCACACTATTTCAAGCCTTAGTCCCAACTTACAGTTATAGTCAGAAATGCCCCCTGTGCAAATAACAATCTAGCAGACACAAGGCACATTTCCATGTTTAAAATAGAAAACAATTCTTACCATCTCCTGTACAATAATAACCAGGGAATTTTTTAAAATATGTAGTTTCAAATCTTTCTTGATTACCATAAACAGTCCTCATTAAACTTGGCCATGGTTTTTTAAATACCTAATAATCAAGTTTAATAAATTCAAGTAACCGTTCACACAAGCTAGATATTATTATAGGTATGAATATAGTTGTCCAAATATTTGTTTAACCACACGGTAGCACTTTGCAGCATTTAAATCAAACATAGGGTTCAGCTTCTGTTGATCACAAGAGAACCAGACTTAAGATATATATTCTGAAATATACTATAGATAGACTAAATTGAGCTCTAACAGATGGCAAGTCATATATCTAGGAGACTATCTCCCATTTAAAATTTATAGGTCAGTCGACTCTGGCTTTAAATGACTAAATTGATAAAAAAACTTGTAAAAAATCTATAAAACCCTGCTCAGGTGTGACATCTGGACAAAATAACCTTCAGTTTATCCAATATAATTTATTTATGTATTCTGAACCTCACCTATTTGCAACTTAATCAATATGGATCATCTATTTCTCCTATAAATAAAATGATGACAAGTACCTGGAATTTTAAGTATGATCTGAGGAAAACAACCTAGACCTACTACTAAGAGCTGTAAATAAAGACAAAATGTACACTCACTAAATAACCTTCTCCTGGTCCTTCTATTTCTCTACCTTCTTCTGTTAATAAAGCTGGCACAACACCAAAAAATGGAAATGTCTGAAAAGTATAAATAGCAATAATAATGATTGTGTTTAGAATTGTACAGGCAACAGGGAAATGAAATAGATCCAAGATCTAAGATGAAATATTAAATTGATATTAAAGTTAAATAGTCACCTTAACAATACAAACACAAAAATATTAATTTCAGCCAAAAATTAGATCACTAAATTCCTAGATAAACAATCAATGATGTTTTTGTTGTTTTTACAGGAGACTTGACTTTACCTTCTTCCCCAGTTTATAGATGAAATAAGTACATATCTAAGAAAATTGTCCTATATATGTATAAAATGTTACTTACAGCTGAACCTGGCTTGGTAGGTGTGGCACCTGGTAGAGGTGTTAATACATGACCACCCTAAAAATAACAAATAAATTGATTCCTTGCCCAATCTGTATAAATTTTAAATTCAAATGTATATCAAAGTAGAGGAAAATAATCTAATACCCAGGCCTATGCTTTAAACTGCATGTGTTAGATCTCAATCTCTTCTACCCCCACTTTTACCTTGATGTTAAAGATGTACTACCATATGGATATTGTAAATAATCTACACACTAAAGATTCATCTGATAGTGACAACACTGAGTTTATTTAGTTCAGCCAAGGTCTGAATTTCATCCAGTACTTTTCTTCACTGCCCTGTTCATTAGACTTACCGTTTCTGTCTGCCAGAATGTATCAACAATAGCACATTTACCATTACCTACAACATTATAGTACCATAGCCAGGCTTCAGGATTAATAGGTTCACCAACAGTACCTAATATCTTTAATGATTCTCTACTATATCTGAAAATATACAATATGAAATATTTCATATATTGTAACTTCTTAATGCAGGACTTTTACTCATTTATTAATCTACAAATAACAGTCAAATCCAACACTGTGACAGTCTGATGGCCTCTATCCTCATTATTCCAGTCAGCTCAATTGTTAAATTGCAAGGATAATCTGAAAGATCAATGTCAAGAGGTTTGGGCAAGGCCTAGCTGGTAGAAAGGATCCTCATCAACCAAAGTTGTTATTCTTCTAAAAATGGTTGTTGTTTTTTTCTTTCTTACGACCATAACCACCATAAGGTAACAGTTTATTGCTTTAGTAATGCTTTCTAGAATACATTTTGTTGTGTACATAAGGCTTGTAGCAGACACACAAAAAACTCATTGTCATCTCAATTTGATGTGAAACACTCTGAGTTACTGATGAAAAGGTTCTTACTTTGTAACTATATCATCACCAAATTTCATGAGAGCTCTAATAGCTGTTGGAGCAGTGTAAAATTTGGTCACTTTGTATTTGTCTATGACTTCCCAAAGTCTACCTGCATCAGGGTAAAATGGTGTTCCTTCAAACTGGAAATTAAAAGTATATCTTGTAACAGTTCAAAATTCTAAAAATTGTTAAGACAAAATGATATTTAAAAAAAAAATGAATTAATTTGATAAAACAAGTCAAATAAAACCTAATGAAATGAGTTTCAAATAAGATCTTAAAAAATTTAGTTCAAAATGAAAATTGACAAACTTATGAGAATATTTATCAGAAGCACTCTCCACTAAATCAAATATTTGTCATCAAACATGATAAAAAATGTTGGTTATAATTTCACTGTACAAATTTTATCACATGTCCACTGATAGAAAATGAAAACTATTAAATCAGTTTCAACTGATCAAAAAACTGAATATTATAAACATATAAATAACAAATTAGATTAGCCATGTGGACTCCAAAAAGGGATGTCAAGTTGACATTCTTGTTCACCACCATGAGTCATTCAAACTAGATAACAAATTGATTTACTATATCATAAACCAAATCACTTTGTAACACATTTTATGAAGCAATATCATCAAACAGGTTGGGGACGATATTTTCAGTTCAGACAACACCAGAAGTTTTATCATCAAAGAAAAGCTTTGGGCTTAAAACAACTTGACAAGATATTCATGACTGTCACAATGGCAGTGCTCATCTAGAATTTTGAGATGGTCTTGATCATTTGAAATTGGGATGACAAATTACATTTACTTACTATGACTCCTGTTGAACCATTTCCTAAAGGACCATAAGTTACATAAGAATGTCCAGTTATCCAGCCCACATCAGCTGTACACCAATATACATCATCTGGTTGATAATCAAAGACATATTTAAATGTTGTAGCTGTATATAACATATAACCACCAACAGTATGTAATACACCTTTAGGTTTACCAGTAGAACCACTAGAAATATATAAACAATGATACAAAATAAATTACTTTTCAGGATGAATAAAACATAATATTTCAAATTAGCATTCTAATAATAATAATGACAATAAATTCTTTATTTGGCTAACAATTAGGAAAAAAGGCATTTTTACAAATGAGCCTCAAACTTATGAGCCTGTTAAGTTTAAATTTTTAGGTTTTCTTTTAGTTGGATTGTAGGGGAAACCAGGTGTCATATTCTAAAATGGTGACACATATATCAAATATCTGAATTGAGCTATACCAGCTGCTAATCAAATATAAAGATGACCATATTTCTTTGATTTTTTGAAACAGAACAAAGAACAATATAAAAAGTAAAGATAGATTTCTTTTGTAAATTATCAGTCCTAGACTTCTTGAGAGCTAATTAACTGAAAATATAGAGGATAATATATTGGCTTCAAATAGAAAAAACTCACAACTCCAGGATTTTTTTCACCTCTGAAAGTCAATGAAATTCTGATCGTACAAAAAGAGTTTTACAATAATCATCAATAATGATCACCATCTCATTTAGTATATTTACCTTGTATACAACATAAATAATGAATCTTCTGCATCCATCCATTCTGGTTCACATACATCACTAACAGATTGCATCATATCATGCCACCAGATGTCTCTACCTGCAGTCCAGTTGATCTACAAGACAATAGCAAACATCAAATGACATTCCACAAAGCACCTATAGCATTCATTTTTTGGTTAGTTATGCCTTGATTGATAGTTTGGTAAAAATATTGTAGATTCATGCTTGTTAAATGATAATGTTCATAAAATATGATTAAGCTTTCTTAACTAACGTATGTTTTTTCTCAAAAAGAATTAATACAAAATTTTAATATGATCAATGTTAGTTTATTTCTGTAAAAACAATATCAGTGGTTGGTTGATAAACTAAACTTAAAGCGAACAACAGACATTCCTATTTTTATGCTAGATATTACCTTTAATTTATGACTAGGTCTAGCTGCTTCTCTTTCATCATCACCATCACCATTGTTAATAATCTCTTCATCTACACTGAGATGTCTAACAACTATACTCTTGTCTACATGATGTCCTCTATAAAATTATTATTAACATTTCGTTATTCTCAGCCATTTAATTCTAGAAAACCCAGCTGTACACAGGCAGTATTGGAAGACTATTTTCATGTGGTAGACCTGATAACATGCTATACCCCATTTGTGGTACTGTGTGGCGCACGATTTTCCCTTCTTCGTTTAACCCTGTGAGTGAAGACATGACTGTATTGTGGTACCGTGGTAATGCTTTGGGTAAATATTTAATCAGATCATGATCATAAGTGAGCAAGTTGAGTTAAGCACAGAAAAAAGCAAAATGAAACATCTTTCAGTTTCATCCAATTGTGAAGCATTACCTCTCATCACAGATTTTCAAAGCATCATCAACAATCTTTTTCAAATTTAATAACTTTGATCCTCTCCATACTCCATCTTAAATAATATAATAACAGAATATTGATTATTGATATTTATTATTGATAAATGATGTTAATCAGGTAAAACCACTTTCATGCATTAAGAGAAAGATCTTTTAATCTGTGAATGAGAATATAATTTTTGGTCCGTATTGTTTAATATACTGCCATGTGGACGATAACCAGAACATACATGAACATTTGCCACCATAACTTAAACGACATTTACATAAATATATAATGATTATATATTACATGCAATTCACAATGCCTACCACCAACAGCCACTACCACCATCTTAATGCTTACTTTGCTATCCCTTATGAGTGTAATCGTTACAAAAAAGTCTAATTTTGCTATGATTCTTGTAAATACTTAAGCAAATTAGTATATAAACCTATGTTAAAAGATAGAAATATCAAAATATATCCTTAAGTTTGATGTTTTTACATGAAATGAGGCAGAGATTAAATACAAACCTGCAGTAACTATAGCACAACAATGGGCATCTAATATTCTATCAGCTAAAGATTCAGCAGAATAACCAGCAAACTATATAAATTATAATTAGAATGAACAGCTAGCTTTATAAAATATCAAAATAATCACTTAATTTTATAATTTATAATCAGCTAACTATATAAATTATAATCTAAATATTCAGCTAGCTATATAAATTATAATCAACTAACTATAAATTAAAATCTAAGTAATCAACTAACTACATGAATTATAATCTAAATAATCAGTTAACTATATAAATTATAATCTAAATAATTAGCTAACTACATAAATTAAAACCTAAATAATCAACTAACTATATAAATTATAATCTAAATAATCAGATAACTATATAAATTATAATCTAAATAATCAGTTAATTATATAAATTATAATCTAAATAATCAACTAACTATATAAATTATAATCAGTCAACTATATAATTCATAAAAAGAAATAATCAGCTAACTTTATAGTGTATATTACCAAAAGTCTTTTTTAATGCATTAACCTAACATGTAAGGGCATCTTGAATGCTCTAAACCAAATCAAATCACCATGACATGTCATTGCTATGAATCTACCAGTTAAATTCATATATCATATATCAAAATAATGAATTTGGCCTTGAGTTTGTCAACCATATCATAATAATTTCTTCAAAGCTCAATCCTTGAATTTTTTGTCATAAATAATTTAGATCATTGGGTCAAATATATCATATGTAGCCAAGAGCTCATATTAATTAGGAGCAATTTCTTAAAGATGTAAGATAATTAGCGTTAACATAGGTGAGAAATGTATTGTTTGTTTACTACAGTATATCAATAAACAACAACACAGTGTATAAACACTGATGTGGGTGGACAGTGGCCAGTTTATACAGGTACATTATGTGACCTGACCTTCAACTCTATAAATAAAATATCAACTCAGAAAGTAGCTGGATTCAATGGAAAGCAGCCAGTCAGCTATTTGTTGTCAAACTGTAATAAACCTTTCTTTCTATTCATGAATTTAACATTGATGTGGAAGGATTTATTACCTCAATCTATTATTTGCAAATCTGTAGTTTATTTAAATTTCTCGTTGAAAAGTGTCATGCTCTACTTATTGTTTAATAAATTGACTTCAATTCTGTATTTTTATCATATATACAGCATACTGTTGTTTTAAAATTTAATCAACATATGTTTGAAAATTATCATCACTTCAATGTCCTTGTTAGATTCTCGTGAGGCGTATTTGCTACTGTGATGTCATCAGTAGTCTAATTACCGTACATGAGAATGTTTAAATGGACACATTTTCATTGAATTGTAGGTGAACTTGACATTAGATTTTAATTCTGAAAAGTACCCTTTAACATATCATTTCTTATTGACTGATTACATGCAATGCAACATTAGGACAGCCTAAATAGGAATAAAAAGGTGAAGCTATCAAATAACATACATCTATAGATGATGTCCGACAGAGCTATGTCTACAACAGACATTTGAGCTGGGTATGTCTGGCAAATACAACCTAACAAACAGCTTTGACCATGCACTATGAACATTTAGATAGGGTAGGCGAAAAAATATTATAAGAACATGCTAATAATGAAGAGTATATGATCAAATCATGCAAGGATATGAAATAATAATTGTTAAGAGAGATGACCTGCTATAATGATGACTTTAGCCAAACATCCAAGTATACGTTCAACAAGAGAGTTAACAGAATAGCCGGCAAACTAAAGTTAGAGATAAAGAAAGAATAAAACATAAAGCTGTTACAGAAGTTTGGTTGATCACATACATGAAGAAATAAGGAAAGGGTCGCCCTCAAATATTCAGGAACATGAAAGCTCCTGGTGAAACTTTCTATGGCACTGTGATGGGTGAAGATTTTAGCAGATCTTATCTGCTGATAAATGAAAATATCACAATATCCAACATTGTTGAAGAATATAAACACATTAATATTAGCTTACTTAGTTAACTAGAAATATTAAAACAGAACCTGAAACATGTTACAACATGGAATAACCTCATGATTCAATTTCTGTTTAATATTTCTATAACACTGTATAATTGATGTATTGAGCACTATTTTAACAGTGAAAGTGGTTGGTTAATGTACTTAGTTGACTACTTAATAACTAAAACAATACCCTGATAAAAGGTCAAGGTCAAAATCCAAGCAAATTTGTATTATATAGCTCTATAGTCATAGCCCCAAAAGTACAATTGATTGCAACAAAATTGTGGACAAAACACAAAAGATCTAAATAGCAATTTTTATGCATATTTTTAATTTCAAACATTTGAACTAAAATAAACTTCAATATTCTTTTCTGGTAAATGTTGTTGACTTTTGTGAGCTTGCAAGAGGTGGAAAAATATCACCTTTTGAAAATTTATGAGTAACAACGATTTTGCTTATTTTGTCATTTTTAAACTGAATAATGCTAAGTAGAAAATGTGTTAGAGGAAGAAACCGTGAGCTCTGCTATTTTCAAATGTACATAACAGAAAAATTGGCTTAGATTGGGAATCAATGCTGTACAACTAGTATGATAATTCAATGTCTAGAGATTCCCGAAATCAATAAACAAACCAGACAATAAGATAGATTAGAGGAAATCACCCAGCAACAAATTATAGCCTACTATAAAGCGATACAGAGATAAATAACCATTAACTTGTCAAGAATCATTGCCAATTTCTTTTGAAAATATCAACAACCATTTTGAATATGAACATTTAAGGCTATTAATAAACTGTTATGTACCAAGTTATATTTTGCATACTGCTTTTCATTTCCTGGTTTGCCAAAGAAAAACAGGCTACTTGATGAAGCATCTAAATTTTTCTATAGTGGCATTAGCCTATTCTTTGTTTATTCAAAAAAAAGATCTTCTACATTACAAATAAGTTGAAATAAAGGGTAAGATTCAGGCTAGGGGCACTTTTACTCAAAGTGGCATAACTCCAGTGGAAAGAGCTTCTTGTTGAATCCAATCAACATCACTCTGTGAAACTTAGCACCAACATTATGTCTGAAATATGTCTGATTACAAAGATACAATTCAAAATACATGATCATGGAAATCTATACTCACCACAATAGAGTGAATAGCTCCTATTCTAGCACATGCTAACATAGCAACAGATAAATCTAGAATCATTGGCATATAAATAGCCACCCGGTCACCTCTTTTAATTCCTGAAATTAGAGTAAAATTTCTTTATTCTATCAAACATCAAAATAAGATAGAAGGGCCGCTTAGTGAAAGCCTATCTATTGATTCTAAGTTTCAACTTCAAGAGATATCAGTGATATGGTGACACTTTGCAATTGAGTTCACCTTTAGCTCCACACAAGAGAGAAAATTAAATAGTTTTAACATCACATGTGTGATAACTTGAACTAAGATATAAACTTACCTAGATTCTTTAATACATTACCAAAACGACACACTTTTTGTTGTAGTTGAGAATATGTTATTTTACCATGATCAGTTGGATCATTCCCCTCCCTACAAATACAAATAAAAGATAGATATTTATTTTATACCGGTACTTCAATATGTCTGTCTTTAGGAAGAAATATAAAAATTTACAATTAAAAATAATAGATCTACAGTATTGTGTGTAGGCCTATGTATCTTTCAACTGCCAAGTCTACTTCTTATGCATTTATCCAAAACAAAGTTAAAGCATATAAAAAGAGTTGTCAAGAAGCTTACCAATAAAATGCAATCTTGTCACCAAGACCATTAGATATGTGGCGATCTAACATATTATAACAAATGTTAGTTTTTGCACCTTCCATCCATTTTATAAATATTGGCCCCTTTGTCACATCAAAATTGTAATCAAAGAATTTGCCTGTTGGTGGAGATTTCCAATAAAATTCAGCTGCTATTTCACGCCAGAATGTTTCTGGATCATCGATAGAATGCCGGTACATCTTTTGATACTGTTGCATAGAATTGACATGAGCTTCATTTTGAAGGGAAGCTGGTGGATTAAATATAAGTTCTTCACTTCCCGCAACATGATCATTTTGCTCCGCCATGATGAAAGAAATTCCCCGAAGTGGCTTCACATCGCGTGCAAGCCCCAGTTACTAAAAATAAAACTAATATGATTGGTTGTTTTTACTGGTCATCCGTCACCTCATATTAATAATTACACTATGAATATTATATCACGCCTATTCAACCTTTTACTTTAATAATTCGAGATAACATTGATAAGAACGATCAGCTGTTTAATAAACGATTAGATCTAGCACAGAAATAATATACTCTGAACTTAACTCCATCCTTCACACTTTCACATAATATTCATGCCTACCAACAACCACCTAGTTTGCGATATCAGCATCCGCTGGAAGCGAACGTTAACTTGTCATCTACCAACCAATCTGTCTGATATGGTGTCTAAATTTTTGCGCAGGTGGTGCTCATGTGCAACCGCCTACTTAGGCTACCTCCCTTATCTGCTTCATGTCATATAAAAATATGGCTAATTTTGCATTTACTTCCCACAGAAGCCTACAGATGTAACGGATGTTAGTTTTAATTATTATTTGTTGTGAAATTAGATTTGTACTTGTTTAACCTTTCATCCAGTTTCTATTACCCCTTATAAACACCATTTGCGATTACACAAATGTTTTATTGTTATGTTACATTTTACCCCACAGTCTGTTACAATTTACACCGAACAAGGGGTTAGGTTAGTTGTTACAAAATGAATTCAACTCTTTTCCATAATTATCTTAAATATGGATTGCATTTCAGAAATGTAGTTTAAGCATTCCAAAAACACAAATCACTTTTCATAAATTGGTGTAAGTTTTGTAAAATAGCAAAAGGTATGAAAAATGTTACAACTAGTCCCTGTCTCCCCTATTAAACCAAAAGAAAGACATTAAACAGTATTTGTCTCCCCTTGCTTAGATGTTCTACAGACTGTAGCCTAAATTAGGGCCTACAGCATTAAATACTTAAAAAATGGGATTTCAGATCAGACCAAATTTTAATTCCATGAAATCTTAACATATCAGCCTAGTTAATGCATATTCTGACATGGTTTGAAAATGTTTTTCATTTCGCTTTCAGAAAATTATTGAAATTATTTGCACAATCATCACTACGTCCATAACCGTTTTCAAGAACAAGGGCAATAACTAGCTAAAATGTTTCTTTTTATTATCAATAATATCTTGGGTGAAACTTCACACCAAGTTATGTCAAAATTTGTCATTTGTCAATTTGATTTGTGCTTTTTAATCTGTTTATGCAAAAATGTGCATTATATATCAAACATGCACATCGTGTAATGATATGTGCATCAAATACAGGGCATTCATACGAATGTACCATTTCATGCGCCTCATATAATAACATACTCACATAATAAATTCTGGCGTCCCATAACTTATATTCGGTAGTGTATCATATTTTTATTGTAAAACATCTTAATAAAAACAATGTTAACAAATAAATAACTGGACAAAAAGCATCCAAAATCATATATGAAAATATATATTTATAATTTAAGTTATAATATAACTCTATATTATTACAATTATCACATAAATAGACAAAAATATCAATTCTTATATACATAAATGGAACATATATCACAATTGAAAGCACTATGGGAACTGTATGTTACACCATAACGTGAAACATACTTTAATATCACAATATTATACAATTTTTTCATTGGCACAGATATTTACATATTATATACGTCTGTAAAACATATTCATAAATTATATATATATATATATTGTTCCGAGACAGCACCATCAATCAAAAATATCTTTATACATAAATTCCTTCCAAAGACTTAATGTTTCTACCAACTCTTTAGAGGAAGGTCTTTCATCAGGAAGAGCAGACCAACATTGAGTATAGAGTTCTTGGTAAAGAAGATCAAAGGGATCATCGCCAACATCAGGAGGGGTAGGTCGTAGTTTTTTGGAGACAACACTAAATATTACCACATGCTGATTTTGATTAGCGAATGGTATTTCGCGACTCAGTAACTGCCATAATGTTACACCATAAGAATAAATATCTGACTGAAGACTTGGCAATGCTCCTTTAAACAGTTCTGGAGCTCGATATGAAAACGTACCAGTAAGAGCAGATCGTTGTTTAGGGTTTACCATCCCAGTGCCTGCTTCAACTCGCTGACAGCAACCAAAATCACCCAATTTACAAACATCTTTACTCGTTATAAGTATGTTTAGTGGTTTTAAATCTAAATGAACAATTAGATTACGATGAGCATATTCCAGAGCATTAGCTATATCCATGCTATAGCGTAGCCTTCTATGTTGACAAACATCCTCTTCCATATCACTAAGAATAGTTTGAAGAGTTTTATTGCCAACATATTCCATAACTATCCAAGCACCCGAATCAAATTGATCGGGGCATGTTGCAGCTATAGTTCGCACAATATTTGGATGTTTCCAGTTATATACATTCAATTCTGCTTTGTAGCTTTCAAGCTGCGCTTTAGGATTTTTGGAAACTTTATGTAAAGTTTTCACAGCGGCTGTTTTGTCGAGATAGGTAGCCAAAAACACGCTTCCAAATCCACCGGCGCCTAATAACCTTCCAAGGATATAATCATCTTTATTAAGAGGTCTTTGGGAAAGATCTTCAAATGGCGTTTGAGGCAATACTTCACACTCGTTTACAGGATAAAAACTGTCAGCTTCGTTGACCATAAGAATATCTGATACCAAGTTCACATCTGTTGGCATGTCTCATTTGAATTCCGTAATACATTTACAAATATTTACAAATGTACAGTTACTTTTCCACTAAATAAAACTGAAAACAATACGATTTTTCAAGTATCCAAACACATTTTTGTATTGAACTAATAAACCTTTCTTTGTAACGATAAACACTCTTAATGACAGTTCATTTGTACTCACGTGCATTTGTTTAACTGACCCAAATACGCCACGCTTTGTGATTTGCTTAATTAGATTAGATTTTACTATTTGGATTGATTGTAAAAGAGATTTTATCTGACACTCAAGAGACTTATGTGACAATTGCTTTACCCCAATAATTGTAAGTTACCTTTACTTGTGTTTTAGTAGGCCTACTCATTTCTTTGCATCATTATGGTACAGGGTAATGGAAACATTGTTTGACAAGCGTATCTTCAATGTTGAAACAGTAAGTGGAGCACTGTCATAAAAGATCGAAAAATTATTTTATACATATACACCATACTTTATGTCAGACATTGACAATAAATTTTACAGAATGAAATTAGATAACATTAGGTATAAAAGAAACGCATCCAATCATTTTCTTTTAATGTGTCTGAATCACGGCGCAGTCTACAGCCTTTTGTGTAAAGGCTTAATATAAAGATAGAGTTGTGCTCAATGTATGAGCTCTCAAACTATACTATTTTAAATGAACTGGGTGTGAGCAAAAATCAGTGATTATGATTCAAAGCTTTAATGGTTAACAGATTGGAATAATTTCAGAACACAAGAATCACATGCCCCCATTTACAAAAATTGCAACTTGGTGATTGTGCTTCTTTACATTGCAAAGTTTTGGTTTTGAATTTTTCAGTCTATTCTGCCCGATTATGATGTTATAGTTTCCAAATCGTCCACTAATTCTGGAATCTGAAAACTAAACGGAGATACTATCCTTCCATAAAGTTGTCAGAATCGAGAACTAATTCAATTTTGAGCTCTCTGTAGCCGACGTGGCAGGTTTCTGTGTCAAGCTGAAGAGATAAGTGAGTTTGCTATGTGATTATTTGTGTATCCCGTGAACATGTTGCATCTCAACCTCCTTGTTGCTGATTGATGATATTGTTAATTGTAAATATGAATGCAACACTGTAGCATCTACATAAAATAAATATCGCCCATAGTCTCATTATTATAATCACAGATAAACAGGTGTCCACTCTCTTGTTTCTGACAGAGATGCAACATTCGTTGAGTGGCACTTCAACTCTTGACTTCTCAACAACCATTTTTGCAAGAAGATGTCCATCAGGTCATTCCTAGTGTTGGACTTTATCTTGCTTACAAAGGGACATCAACCTTTCACAAGCGGGAACATCCTCTTCGAATAAATGAGTTTTAGTTTAAATTGACACCAGCTCATTCTGTTAGTTCAAAACATAATCCCACAGAAAAAGTCTCTGGAGAGCTTAAAATTAGTCATAAGGCATCTTTTATCCTCCTCGGGCGCTCTAGCGGTAAGGGACCTTGGTGACCTCCAAACTCAAGTCTCTATGTTCAACGATCTCTGGTCAGTTGGTAAGCACTATATAAAAAAAAGCTAAATCCCCATCAAGTACCTTCTTTTGGCCAAAAAATCATAGAGTGAATTAAATCAATATCTTACAGCCAACTCCCCAATAGTCGTTTCATCCCAATCGGTTGATGCTAGAGTGAGGTGATACTTTTCACAAAGACAAGGGCAATAGTTAATAATTCTATTCAAATCTGATTAAAAATCTATCTTTTATATAGCTAACAAACTGATCTGAAGTTGAGGCTCCTTCATCTAGTCCAAGGCAATAACCCATTCTTATCTGAGAAATTCATTCATAAGCATACCAAGTTTCTTCCGAATCGGGTGCAAACTTGAGGTTCTTATTTGCGAACAATCAAATTTTGATTCATTATCTCTACGTCAAGGATAGCAATATCTGTGAAATAAATCAAACTGGTGAAAACAAGTCCAAGTGAGATAGCAACAAAATTTTATTAATTAACTCAGTTTCAGAGATTTTGTTTTTACCTGCAGCAAACATTACTATAGAAGATGTATAATTTGATCTAAAGTCGGTAATAAGTTCAGTTAATGCCATAACAAGACCATACTTAGCAGTGTAGAAAATACCAAATGGTACAATTGAACAGATTGGGGTGTCTAGCTCATGACTATTGATCTTGGTAGAGGTCTTAACCCTTGTCAAAAGTAACCCGTGCACTGTAAGTCTCCATTTGAAATTTCTGGCTCTTACTGTAAGATGTGTCGTAACAAACTTAGGGGTCCAAGAGTAGACATGAAGAGCTATAGGTTTGAAAGTAGAGTACCAGGCTCTCGCTTAGAGAATTCTGTCTCATGATCATATTATGCTACTCTAAGGAATTGCATCCCAGAGACACATAGGATCTTTGGAAACTTTAATTGACAAGAGCTTGAACTACCTGGTATTTATGCCACTACTCGGGAAGAGAGCTAGATTTTCAAAAATAACAAACTAACGAACTGAACCGCAAACCGGAAATCCCAAAGAAAAGTTTAGCAATGCATTGGTAGCAGCCAATTATTTATACATTTGAATGATGGAATCATGGAATCATGGATGGCCACCACAGTTACCCCTGTCAGCTGTCAAAAAATTAATTGTATGGTTTAAATATTCTTCATGATAGATCTTTAAAAACCTTTCCTTCAGTTTGTTTTTCTATGGTATGTTTCCTAGTAAACCAATTACGACCATAACTAGACCGTTTTTAACGTAAACATTGATTTAAATGTCACTGATATTTTATCAAGCTGACATCAGGTTTTACACTAAAAAGTAAATCCAGTAATTCAAAGCAGATCGATAATCTGCTAGATGGCGTTTTGTCGTGAGCGTGCTGTCAGCAGACGACATAATAGAAGATGTTGAGAAGAGCAGATGTAGTTTGTTTCAGGTGACATCTGACTCTTTTTATTATCATATTGAAATAATTTCCATTTAATCAGCTTAACATCTCTCACATGAAGTCTTACCAACATGGATGGTGGAAAATTTTCAAGGTGAGTATTTTTATCAACTGAATCATATACATATAGGTATATAAACAATATAGCTTATATTAATTGTACAGTGTGAATGTAGACACCAATCATCTAAATTATTTATGCCTAATATTTACCAATGTGACAATCTAGATGAATTGACGTGTTTCTCTTTAATATATAATAAATTGTGCTGAAATATGGCAGATTGTAATTAATCTTAATAATTCATCTTTCAATGTTCAACAGAAAACTATAGTATTTGTTTTGGCTGTAGACGTCAGGCAGGGTTTGCTTACTCTTTTAGATACCACTTATCATTATGAAATACTTGAGCATTTATAATTGATATATACCAACTTAAAAGCTAGCCTACTACCAATGCTTTACCGAACTGTTTTCTTGGATTTAGGGTTCTGTTTGGCCGTTGGATCGTTAGTACTTGGGTTATTTTATGCAATATGCCAGAATCAGCTAAACACATGGGAACTAAAGTCTAAGCTTATTTCTTATGATTACTTCAAAGCCACGAGTTAAATAGGATACGATATTTGTCACAAATAAGCTAATATGTGTCATGTGGTATTGGCAATAGAGCTGTTAATTCACGGGAGAATCTATATAGAGAAAAATTAATAGCGAGAAATTCAATAGATTTACTACGAAACATATTAACTTGAACACGACTATCTACATATAAGCTTATTTGTTTCAACTAATGTATCTTCTAACCATGATATCTCATAAAACTCTCTCAGACAATACTCTAGTTTCACATAGTTTGGTGCAGATAAACATTCGAATTGACAGTAAAGTTTTCTTTGGTTTCGTTTTAGATCCAACATCCAAGTAAATTTTACCAATATTAACAATTACGACAAGGGAATTTACCTCACAATTTATTATAAACTTCAATGACAACACGATGAACGTCTACAATGACAATATAGACAGGTCTAAAAAGTATTATGAAAAGAAAGCTGAAACTGTTCATATGGTTGGTAGGACTAAATCATATGTTTCACAAAAAGTTAAAAGACCAACATTACTAATAAATAAGAGTTGATCATATAATTTATTACACATGAAGGTGGATATCATAAATCAGTCACGGAAGATATAAATACTCCAGACAACATAGCTATCATCAACACAACACGAAGTTACCATGCCCATCAATCAGTTAACGTATATATAATCTAGACTATTACACACAAACATGCATTAAAAGTTATCCTTATATTTACTTAATATTTTCGTCAGTTCTGATGTTCAAATCATGATAACATTAAGCAATTTGGGATCCATATTTCAAACATTTGAACTTTGAAGTTTCATTAAAGTAATCTAATTTCAAACTATTTCCCTTGAACATATGAAAAATAACAATTAAAACCAAAACAACATTGATTTGTACGTTATCAGTCAACGTTACTGCCACGAGCAAAATTGTTTTGGTGTTTGTGAACAGTAAACATAAACTTAAGATACAGTCATTCAGTCAAAATTCTTTCTGAACTAATTTTTTCCAGGGAAATATCAAGGTGATCATACATGCATAACACTCTTTTAGACTTTTCGTTTCGAGATATATGACCTTTTACAGTAATTCACAATTTACTTCCAGCCGAAAAATACTTGACTTATTCTTGTGCTTGGATATTGCTCTTGAACATTAGAGACGTTTGAAAAACAGCGAAATTACTTGACATTTTCAGATAATAGAAAGTTATATTATTATAACACTATCAATTAATGTTCGTCAGTGATAATTCAACATTTCTTTAACTTGTGTAACAATAGCATGTGAAGTGTTCTTGGTAGAGAGATCTAAATTTTTCTGAGTACAGCTCCCTTTACAGAGTTATTTATCATATCGAATGATCTATGAGGCTTATTTTGCATAGGGGAAATTGAAAGCCTACCATTGAGTTGCGCTTATTTTCAGTCTCTGTGGGTATTGGCGGAAACTAAAGACTTTTATGGCGTATCAAGTTCTGGGTTAGTTGGTTACCATCAAGGGAGTTAATGAACCCATCAGTGTTAGATTGTACAAGTTGTTGTTGGTAATTACTTAACGTCAGATATTGTTATATCATAGTGATGACAATCCATTGCCTGTACACTAGACAATCTTATATATTCCAGCTTCCGAGTGTGTAAATTACATATTATTGCAAAGTTAGTAAATCCGTCCGTGATGGTAAAAGAAAAGTATCGAGTTGTGTTGAAATATTTGCCTAGGGTTCTGTTAGTATAATTTGTAAGAAAGTTGATTAACACAAGACATGTGATAATCTTAATACGAACCGATATAATGAACTTTTGCTTTTCATCTCTTACGCCTAAAGCATTTCTTCGTGTTATTGATACTCCATTGGATAAAATAGAAGCTATAGATCTGTATAATGAGTCATATAAAACCCTATACAATTGACTTGTTTTTTATTGGATTAAACATGATATTTCTACTAGTTACGGGGAAAAACAATATCATCAGAGAATGTTTCTCTGATTAGTGCTAATTTTGAATCAGTAGGTTTAAATCCGTTGTATCTGCGTATTGTTCCCATTTCCTTTTATAACAGTTACCTGAAAATCATAGAAACCATAAATAACCCCGACCAGATATGATAATAGTATCTATGCAACAATTCTGTGTATTTTACACATTTATTTTTACATGTTATATGGCTGGACCTTGTTAATTTCAGTTTTCACATTCTTAGACGTAAATTCCGATAGTCTAGCAGTCAAGCCGTTCTTTTAAACATGGATAACGAAAACCGGTAGGCACTTGGGCCTTTTTATTTTTTTTGATTCAATTCAGTCTTCGTATTTTAGGAAAACTGTTAATTTTTAGGGGAATATTTCATTATTTTTGTTGATAAATGAGAAATTATCACTACTTAACACAAAGCACAACGGTCTATGCACAACCAAAACTGGTATTAGTACTTGCATGCTTAAGCAGTCCTTATTTTGTGAACACCGGTAGTCTGTTACATCACATAAAGTTCTTTTTGTCAGACGAGTTTTGTATACAGTGTATTTAGTAAAAATAGATACCATAACAAAATTCTGTAGAAGACGCACAGTCTCTGGACGCCATAAATAACCATGTCATGTCTGTATCAGCAGGCAGCATATTATTGGAATATTGTGCATGTAGTAATTTGCAACTGAGTTTTTGTAATTAATGACCATAATGCAAATCCTTGTTCAAAAGAGAATAGACCAATGATGTCAGAAAGTCCAAAATCACCAGTATATGTTGTTACCGATCATTGTTATGGACTGATAAATCAATCGACTTTTGACACTGTATGTATGCATTCCTTATGACGACCTTTGTCCTTTGCTTAAATCAAACAACTAATGAACAAACCATATTGTACAATGCGAAAGACCTTCTTGTTTCTCTATGACTTGCATTTCTAGTAAGCCTTTGATGATGATATTTCAACTTTTCTGTATTAACTCTTCAGCATACTGCTTCCTGAACTCGTTATTTAGTAAATGAATCATTAAAACTTCCAAATCCTTTCCTGGTAGCATGTTAATTTAAACCAAATTGATGATCTGAAAGAGCGTTATTGTCATTTAATGAGATTGTTGACATATTAATTTTTTAGGTCATTTTATAATGGGTTGTTTCCAGAATGAATGTTATCTCTCTATATATTGTATTTGTATAAATAGACTATTTTATTAACTCTTTTATCCTGCATATTAAAAAAGAAAAGAGAAACAATCAATCAATCTAATATAGAGTAATGGTAATATACCTCCTGCACGTAGACTTCCAATTATTCAACTTAAAGTCATGCTATGCCAATGATCGTGGAAATGTTAACCGAGTTGGTTATTCTTCAGATGGAGCATTTGATACAAGATACATACGATATAAATTTGGTATAATTGCATAGTCATTAACTGCTTAAGCTACCAGAAGAACAGTAGATACAGGGACCACGGGCAACAACAACTGTGGTTTATCATTTCATATCGTTTTATGCATGTGCATATTTGACATTCGGTCATCCTGTAGTCGGTGGTTTGAGGACTACGTGTAATCGTTTGCAGTTACTAAATTACCAGGCTAAATTAACATGGTACCGCAATTTGAATTTATGTATCATGAATCTTTGATTTGTATCAAATATAGACATCTGTTGGTGTTGTGCTGTAATTTTATGAAGAAGTTGAATTGCCGACACCAAACTCGAGAATATATATTTTCTAGGCACTGGAAAATTAAACGTTAACCAAGGCGTCTTACAGTGTGCTTGCTATTTCTGTGATATCTTCCCATGGATTATTTGTATTCTAAAGACAATCTTTGACGCACTTTAACGGATATTTATATCTACAGTTTTTTTTAATTGCACCATCTATGACGATTTTGTGAAAATAGCTATAATTAATACTATGAAGAGAGGCAGGATTTTGTTTTGTTTCTGTGTGTCAAGTTGTTTTATTTCCAATTTCTGGTTTTCATATTCGAAACACGTCTCAACAAAATTGAACAAGTCTTTGGCAATTAGAACTTATAAAGTTACAGTGTTAGAATCACAAAAGTTAATTATGTGGGGTAAAATATAGTTATTTTGTATGTTAATGAATTTGTCGGCTATTTGGTGTAAGAAAAAAATCGGAGAAAAAAAGTTGTGATATTGTAATCTACTACCGTTATCTACAGACATGTAACATTCATCGTATTTTCTCTGCCACTATAATTAGTCTAACAAGATTGAAACACAAAATCAGACAAAACTGACTATGGGGTACGTAAGATCTCATTTCTAAAGATCTAACTTTTATAATTATCAACGGTCAGACGTCTTTAAAGGAACTGTGAAGAGTTTTTCTAAAAAAATGTATTTATCTGAAACACTGATAGCATCAATTTACCCTATTCTTATTTTCAATCCGACGTCTGTGGTTCCTGCAATTCCACAAAATATAAGTGTTTGATTACTATTCGTAAAATATGCTTTATCAAACATTAGTGGAATTGCAGGAAGCATGACAGGCGTGGTGGGATGGTGCTCAGTGTCCCCAATACACGTATAATTTTTCAAAAAACTATTTACAACCCTTTTAACGACCTGGAGAATAATTCATGATTTAGTTTGGAGCATTTGTAAAATTATTTGAGATTGGAACAATGAAATTAAACTCCTATAAAAATGTCTGTAGTATGTTAGGCCTGATAACGTATACCTTTCTTGTGTTTTTGTTATTTTACAATGAAATTATTTTTCTGATGTGTTACTATGGTGATAATGGAGTAAGAATTAGCCAGTAGCACCTGATATTGAATTAGTCCATGTTACAACAGGCGTTATATTTATAATTCCGATAATTATATCGAGTCTATGGTAATAATAAGATAACGGACATCTTATAGCACAAGTTAAAAAATTTCATTTTATTCAAATAATAATAAGTCACTGGCCTTCATCTTCAGTTAGACTTTGCATGCTATGAAATTTTTTCTTTTTAACAAAATGTGAGTAACTTGGTAGTACTGAATGAAAAGATTTTTATGGGTGCCTGACAAGTTAACGTTAGCTTATGTGCGTCACTGCTATGAATCTTTTATAGCTTCAGTAAAACCATTCTGTATATGAGCACCTTCAATAGTCTACATATTCCAGATGGCTGCTTAAATGGCTTCTAATAGAAGATTTCGATCCAGTGAAAAATTAATAACTTTGAAAAAAACCCATTCAAATCCACAAAATGAAAAAGTGAAAGAAATCAAACTCCCACTCCAAATTATTTGGCTAATTACCAGCATCATGCATTGTACAATGGGGAAAATTTTACCAAATGTTTTCATCTGCCAAGATCCTTTTCAATTTGCAGCCAGCGTCCCTTCCACAAATTTAGAAACACTCTTTCTCTCTATAGATTAAGATTCAATTAAGATTCTCTTAATATTCTTTTAATATTCCATTTCCATACAATTTTTTTTTCATTCATTGTTTGAGACAATGGATTCATGCTGAAATAGATGATATGTCATTCTGTATACATTTATATATAGTATATTCCTAAAACCTTTCAGGAATCAGGAGCTCTTAAGGTTCTTCATTTCCTTCCTTCTTAATCCATCTCTAGAGAACATAATTATACAGATTCCTGCTGTCAATACTTATCAGAAAGTTTCTTAATACATAATGTCATCGTACAGAAAATATGGTGTAAGGATATCATATAATACTTGTAATACAATACCTTTTTGATTAGAAAAGATGGACATAATTTAGGATATACGTATCGGATAGGAATTCCCAGTGTATCGATTTCTCTGAAAAATGCAGATTAAATGCGCTGTAAAAGTACAATAATATGTATATAATTGGAGAATATTCCCTGAAACACAGAAAGTAAAGTAATATGTATATATTTGATATTTCCCCTAAAATACAGCAAGTACATTAATATGTATGTATTACAAAGAATTTCCCCTGAAATACAGAAAGTACAGTAATATGTACAGTTTAAGATATTTCCCCAGAAATACAGAAAGTACAGTAATATGTATATATCTGATATTTCCCCTAAAATACAGCAAGTACATTAATATGTATGTATTACAAAGAATTTTTCCCTGAAATACAGAGAGTATAGTAATATGTATATATCTGAGAATATTTCCCTGTAATACAGAAAGTACAGTAATATGTATATATCTGAGAATATTTTCCTGAAATACAGAGAGTACAGTAATATATATATTATATTACGTTGAATATTCCACCTGAAATATAGAAACATTAAAATTAAAGTTAGGTTGATATATGTTGACGTTCAATGGAATTAAATAAACATTTTAACAGTTTCTACGTTGTTTTTCTTGTCCGCTCTGATGGCCATTGTAATATATAATAATATAGAAGTTGTTTTCTTCTGTTTGCTGTAGAATTAAACGATATTTTGATATTTAATACAATTTCGTTTGAGTTTGAATGCCAATGAATTTGTTATGTTAATAATTTCATTTTGACATCACATCTGACCTATTTGAGATGGCTACTTGAAAGTAAAACTGTCTGTAATCATAATATGAACTAAAAAGATGTTCATAAAACCAAATGTGTTCAATTCAATGGGCATAAAAAAACTCATCAGAACATGTTTGATGATATTGCCACCAAAATTGTATACGTACTTGAAAGTGTCAATTTATTTTTACTTTCAGAACTGCCATGGAGATTGGTGGAAATCTAAAGCTACGGATTCTCTCGGAGAAGAACGAGAGTTGGGTTGGTTACATTGAAGATCCCAGAGACAGGTCAGTATGGGGGAAAACCAGTTTGATGTTTTGGAATCAGAGGAAACTAAAACTAAGATAATTGTATGTTTCAACTAGCTGAAAACAACAAAAGGGTGTGGGTAATGCCGAAGCCTTTTGTTGGGGAGTCGGTATACGATTAGCCGAAGGAAACACTTTTCATATTGATTCCCACTTCAAGTTCCTTAAATACCTTCGGACCCATGTCGTTAGTAACAATATGCACGAAATTCCACCATGAAGTTACATTTTCCCAATTTTTTGCATCTCTCCTTTATGATTTCACTATTTTTGCACTCATTTTTGTAGCATGTGGCCATTTTAAAATGTTCGCCTTTGTTCCGTAAATTTCAATGGGTTATTTATATTCAAAGTCTCAAGAGACAATGTGAAGAAATGAAATGTTTTATTGCCAATCTATTTAAAGTCTTTATGAAGATAATGTAAAAGCATTGTTCGTCCATTGAGTCGCGTTTCATGTAAACCTATTTAATATAACAAGCAAATGTGACAAAATCAATCTCATTTGGAGACTTGTCACGTGATATTTAACCAGAACTAAATCTCTAGAGCTTGCTCGGTGTGAAATATTTTACTAGGTATCTAATCTCTTATTATTTGATAAATAATCTGCATGTTGTGGAAAATTGACAGAACTTATTTTTCTCCGCTCTTTTTAAACTCTGCTTCACGATAAATGAGATATTAGATATCTCCGTAGTATCTTATAGTAATTAAAGTTTAGATCCTCTGGCATTAAATATTTTTTTTATTTCATCTGAAAAGATTCTGTTTAATATGATGTCATCTGTTTACTATCGTTTCTCCATCGAAATACCTTGATTGGTTCTGGGATGATTGTAAATAGGTTCTGGGATGATTGTAAATAGGTTCTGGGATGATTGTAAATAGGTTCTGGGATGATTGTGATTAGGTTCTATCATGATTTTAAAAGAGTTTTGGCATGATTGTAAATAGGTTCTGGGTTGTAAATAGGTTCTGGATTGTAAATAGGTTCTGGGAGGATTGTAAATAGAGAGTCCCCTCCAGTCGACATCAGCGAAAACCACTCTTTGTCAACCGGATGGATCGACGGCTCATGTCGACATCTACATGTAAATCTTCCGTCGTCGGTGCTTTAAGGTCGATTTAATCCAGCGATCCACTGTCCTTTTATAAATTTGATTGTATAGAAAGTCATGTATCCGTCTTATAGAACGAAAATCCCATTTTAAATGAAAAGAAAATATTGTAAGTTATATACAGTGCCACCAATTGATATAATCACAAGTTCCCAGACCTTATATTCTATATTGAATTAGAAAGTTTTCATTGTCATTTAAAACTTTTCATACTGATAGGTTTCGACGTAAATAGATGAAGAAATGTCATATATATATGTATTCACTCCGTCTCATAGTGCAATTATTCAAGAATATTCAAGAAAATAAAAGATTGTTCGCTGAATACAGTAACAAATGTTACTTTACACAGTAATAGATTGTACAGAGTTACAGATTATTCACTGTAAATGATTGTGCACTGTAACAGATTGATAATGAAACGTACCTAGCATTTCATTTCAACTGAAAATGCTGCTGTATTTAGAGGGTGTTTTATCGTGTTATGCATATATGAACTAAGAGGGAGGACCAAACACATGAGCTCCAACAAAACAATATGAAAGCTGTTGCATCTCTGATTGCAACAACATAGTAAAAATATTCACAATACCAAGAAAAATATTTTTTGTAAAATAGCGCGCAGTGGAAGTCAGAATTTTTTTTATGTAATATTAGGTTAGATCTTGCGTAAAAACATTTTTATCGGTTTACCGGTATTAGTGGTTGTATTATCTCCGTTCAAAACACGTTGACATTTAAAGATGGTGGTTTTGATATAGAAATAAGATAGCCACGGGATGTAGATAATTTCCACTAGTCTATCGTGTATAAAATAATAAGAGATGTCGTACAGAGCTAATTAAGCATGATGTAAAGGAAATCTCAGTCTGATCTTCATAATCATATAGTATCATAGATATAATTCACCTTTCATCATTATATAGATAATAGACCTTATTACTTTGACGAGTCCACTATGTTTCTGCTACATTAAATGAATGTAAAATTGTAAACGGAAATAGATATTCTCAAAATCAAGGGTTGAATTCAGTAGCTTTAAAGGTCTCGTGAAACAGCTGAATGTTTCAGATCTTCCTATAGATGGAGTTTTCATCGATTTCATCAACTCCCCGAATACTAAACTTTGAAATGCTATCCCCGATGCTTTATGGATAGATCAAATTCCTCACCCAATGTTAGTGGTCTCTGTAATTCCCCTAAAACAATTGACCAGATTATGACGTACCTGTCTTAAAATCCATTCAAACCAAATATGTTTCTATGCCGATCACGGTGAATTTTAGGAACCATGAACCGTGGTTATGTGATTTTGAGTCATTAATAATGTTTTGACTTATTATTTTGTAGATATGATGAATCCGGTGCATTATTCTATGTTGTAGCTGTAGTTATGATATATGGTTTATCTATTGTTATGATGATAGCCTCCCATATCAGAAAAAATAAGCAAGACAGTCATCTTCGAATTTATTTAAAAGAAATGGCAGTGTTGAGAAAAAATGATCGCCGAGAAAAAATAATGGAACAAGTTAACTCAATCGCCAGTACCTCTTGTAAAAAGTCAAGTTTAAAACTGAAATCATCTAAAAAGGACAAAAATGATAAGGAGAGCAAAGAACCATTGAAAGCTACTGATAGTGAAAATGACTCAGTATTTTTGTATCTTGATACATGTAGCACGTATACACCTTCCCCTTCTCCTCAGCTAGAACCTAAACAATATATTAAAATACCGTGTAATGCTTCCCCATCTCCAACTCCTACCACACCGTCGCCTAAATTTGATTATAAACAAATCAAAATACAGATCACCAACGAAGACAATCCATTATGATGGTTGCCATTAAGAGAAGGGGACGTTTATTTGTGACAAGCGGTACAAGAAGATTTTATAAACTTGGCAAGAATTTCTACAAGGATTGTGTAAGAAAACTTGTCTACAAAGTCTATTTTATATTTACTGGCGGTGGAAGCTTTGTAACAAGTATTGGAAATGTTTTATAGAAAAGAGGATTGCTACTTGAAATCTTGACATCTGTTGTGGCTTGTTTCATTGTAAGAGTTTTGTCCCTTTCTCTTATTGTTGTTGGCTCAATAATCATTCTCAGACAGTTTTGTATTATTATCTTTTGTGTATGTTAATAACTCGAAAATAGTAATGAATGTATATAAAGCGAGTATATTATTCCATCCTTTGGCCCAGTGATTATATTATACTCGATAAAATATATCGAGTTCACTATGACATCACAGTGCTTGTTTCACGCAACATTATCTGGGGATGCGATTGATCTGAAATCATATCACATTAACGATGTAGTTAATGAGAAAAATGTATTCATGTATGTAATTATGTCGTAATATCATAAACGACATACAGGTCTTATTTTTGTATTGATAGATATAGAATAAAGGTTACGTGCCACCAAACAACACATTTTGAGTGTCATGACCAAATGTATACTTCTGAAAGAACACCTATATTTTTATGATGTAGTGAAAACTTCTGACTACTAACTTGTTCAAAATTAAAAACACTAGTACCGGTGAGCTTTCAGAAGTAAAGAATTTGGTCATGCGACATTGATAGTCAGGTTGTATCTAAACTTATTTTGGAAATATATATTTATCTGTTATATTGAAATAAATTTGTTTGTATTATAATTATTCTCATCAATCCATTTTATAAATTCGGCACCGATATTTTTAGAGAGTCCAATCATCTATTTTGGTAAATTTTGATGAAATGATATGGAACGCTCGGTCAAAAGTCAACGAAAATTGCATAGCTCTTAGATCAGTTTAAAATGTTATGTTGAAGTATCATTTTATCAGCCAATCACGTGATTCGTGATTCCGTGAGATAGCATGTGCGCATGACAAGATCAGAGCTCGTGCAGACATCGATCAGGTCGGACGTGTTTCTTAACACCTCTCACTTTTTCTACCCGCCACTGTGCTTCAGTTCACTGCCTTGCGACTTAATAGTCCCAAGAGCCTCGTTCTTATTTGATTTACTCGACATCTTAACAGAGTCGAACATGGCGGATGCTATACTCCGCTTGGCGGAGGCAAATCAGGAAACTCCGAAACACAAGGGTTCCGAGTCCAATGTCATCATCAAAGATGACAATTTAAAAAAGGTAAAAGCTCAAGCACTAAAGGAAAGGGTGCAAAAGCGGCCAAGACGGATATCGGCCAGCCTTCCACACCCGCATTAAGCAAAGGGTCTCACTCTCAGCCGATAACAAAATCATCTGCTTCTGGTACGGGAGATAACTCAGCCACAACCTTATGTAGTGAGTCGGATGATTTCAAAACGGCGATCCTCTCCGAAGTACGCTGTTTAGCCTCAACTATTGGTAACCTGAAAAACGATATGAAGAATTCCATTTCAAAGCTAAAGAGTCAAGTGAATGACTTTATCGACGGCGATGGAAAAGATAGTTATTATAACATTGATTACTTAAGCGATTCAGACATAGTCGAACCTTCTCAGGTCAAGGTCAGAGAACCGGATGTAGACCCAGGTGCTTCGCTGGCTGAAAATCTTTTTTCCGACGACGAGTCGGCAAATGTAGAAACAAGTGACAGGATTGAAGAATACGACGTGGTCTCAGACCTAAGATCCAACCTGACTAACGAAGAAGAAGTCGGAGCAAAGGTTGACGATCGTTTAGCAGACATAGTATCGAACTCGTTTACGTACAAAACTAAACAGGACATAGATTCCATCACAGAGAAAATTAAGAAGTATAAAAAACCGGCAAATTGTCCGTCTTTAAAAACACAGGAAATTAACAGGATTATGTGAGACATAGTCTCTCCAGACGTACGCACTGATGACTGCAAACTACAAAGAGTTCAAACAGGCATCATCAAATCTGCCATCTGCATTAAAGAATGCCTAGATGCTGTGATTAAAGAGAAACGGTCCATACCTTCTAATCTGGCCTCAATAATTACTCACAAATTGGGGGATGCCATAGCGCTTTCTGCCTATGCAACAAGAGAAACTATATTGCGAAGAAAATCCCAACTGCAGCCTCATCTTCCTGAAGAATATAAACCTCTATCCTCAGCAAACTCAGCAGTATCTTATGACGATTTATTTGGCGAAAATTTGACCAAGGCCATGCAGGATGCTTCCACGGCAAGGAAACTTAGCAGAAACACCAGGCGTAACCAAAGACCTAGGTATCAACCTTATCCATCACAAGGACAAACTTTTAACAGAGGCAGAAATTACTTCAGACGCCCAAGAGGTTCCTATGGAAATGAACGATATTTTTTGTCCAAAAGCCGACAGGGCAACAAACCTCCAGAAAAAGAGCTTGGGAATCTATAACACGTGATCCATTTATTCTTAATACTATTCGAGGCCTAGACATAGAAGTCAATTCCTTTCCTACTCAGTCATCCGAACCAAATCAAATTAAACAGGTCAGAATCGTTAATAATTGACAATCTTCTAAAAGAACTGATTCAAAATGGTGCTATAGAGTCCACATCTGAGAACAAATCCCAATTCGTTTCGAACATTTTTATTCGGAAGAAAAAGAATGGTCAATATAGACTCATTTTAAACCTAAAACAACTGAATCAGTATGTTCAATACCATCACTTTAAAATGGAAAGCTTACAGTCAGTATTAGACATGCTTAAACCTAATGCATTTATGGCTTCACTTGATTTGAAAGATGCTTTCCACTCCATTAACGTTAAAAATTCCTCAAGAAATAAACTTAAATTTAGGTGGAAGGACAAACTTTTTCAGTATACCTGCATGCCATTCGGCCTCAGCTCGGCCCCGAGAATATTTACAAAGATCATGAAACCAGTTCTGTCTTACCTTAGAGAACAAGGCATCCTGTGCGTCATCTACATAGATGATCTTTACGTTCAGGCCGACACGGCAGACGAACTTAATAAATGTCTTAACATTGCCATCAACATTTTACAGAAACTTGGCTTTACGGTCAATTATGGGAAATCCTGCCTTACACCCAGCCGTAGGATGGAGTTTTTGGGCTTCTGCTTAGACTCAGAACATATGACAGTAGAACTTCCTGGGGAAAAATCCCATAAAATAGTGGAATTTGGGAAGTCAATAAAGTCGCAGACCAATCCCCTTATCCGTGACATTGCAAAACTCCTAGGATTGTATAACTCATGTATGCCAGCCGTAAAATACGGCCAACTTCATTTTCGAAACCTTGAATTGAGCAAAATAGCTAGTCTAAAACAGAATCACTGGAATTTTGACGCTTTCATGACACTCAGCGAAAACGCTATGTCAGACATTAATTGGTGGGAAAATAATTTACACGGGTCTAAGAAATCCATAATTATTCCCAAACCATATTTGATCATGCAGACTGATTCAAGCCTGTACCGCTGGGGTGCAGTCTGCCAGGACATAACTATCGGAGGTGACTGGGCCTCCTATGAAAGACAGCTTCACATCAATGTATTAGAAACTAAAGCTATCTTTCTCGCTCTCATGACATTCGAAAAAATTTTCAAAATAAATGACTGCCACATTCACATCCAAAGCGATAATTCGACGGCAGTGAGCTATATAAAAAACATGGGCGGTACTAAAAGTATCATGTGCAATAAGCTATCTTACAAAGCCTGGTCATGGTGTGAAGAACGTAACATTTGGCTAACAATTGCCCATATAGCTGGATCACTAAATTGTAAAGCTGACGCTGCATCTCGAGTGATCACTTCTGATAGAACAGAATGGGAGTTGGATAATATTGCATTCCATGACTTGCTAAAGTTCTTTGACATCACACCAACCATAGACTTATTCGCATCAAGAGTGAATCATAAACTACCAAAATACTGTGCTTGGAAACCGGATCCAGAGGCTTCTGTCATAGATGCTTTCACCCATGATTGGAGCAATGAAGTGGTGTATTGCTTTCCACCCTTCTGTCTATTAGCAAAATGCATTCAAAAGATAATCGCTGATAAATGCATGGGCATAGTCATAGCACCATGGTGGACAACACAATGCTGGTTCTCTCAAATTCTCAATATTCTATGTTTCAGGCCAGTAACATTACCACAGAGACAGAACCTACTGTTTCTACCCAACGGGAAGAATCATCCTCTTTGGAACAGACTTCGAATGACAGCTTTTCTTGTATCCGGGAACCACTCAGACAGAGAGGAATGCATCAGGGTGCATCCGACATCATCATCAGCTCATGGAAAAACAATACACGAAAACAATATACATGTTATATCCAAAAGTGGAAGGAGTTCTGTGAAGAAGAAAGCATTGACTTCTGCAGTCCCACTTTATCAGAGGTTATAGAATTTTTGTTCAAACTTTATAACCAGGGTCTTGGTTATAGTGGAATAAATACAGCCAGGTGCTCATTATCTACTTTTATTTTTATAAAAAAAGTTCCTGTTGGATCTCACACAATAGTTTCTATATTTATGAAGGGTATTTACCTGAATAAACCATTTGCACCGCGATATGAGAGTGTGTGGGATATCAAACTTGTTCTTAATTACTTGCGTAAGCTAACGCCAGTACGATCACTTACCTTAAGAGAATTAACAGTTAAGTTAGTATTGCTAATTTCGATTGTTTCTGCCCAGAGAGGGCAAACTTTATTTTGTTTAGATTTGGACTATATGTCTGTGAATGATTCTAAATCTGTGTATAAGTTTCATATAGCGGATCACTTGAAACAGTCAAAACCTGGAAGAAAGCCGATTACAGTGAAATTAAAAGCTTATGTTCCAGATCGTAGACTGTGTGTAACAACCGCGCTTTCAGAATACATTAATAGGACAGAAAAACTGAGAGATTCATCCAAGTTGTTCATTACTTTCGTGCAGCCGCATAAAGCAGCAACACGTGATACTATTTCAAGATGGATCAAAACCGGACTTAAAAATGCAGGAATAGATACACTGAAGTTCAAGCCCCACAGTATCCGTGCTGCAACTACCTCAGCTGCTGAGAACGCTTCAGTGCCAGTATCGGATATTATGGCCAAGGCAGATTGGAAGTCTGAACGAAAATTTGCTACATATTACAAAAAACCAATCAAAGATAGCAAGAATTTTGAAAATGCAGTATTAGAGTGTTAAAGAGTTTAATAAATACAATGTTTTATGATAGTAGTAGTTTTCCTTTGTATAACTGTCCTCATGTGCAGACTCTTTGAAGTCTCACGGAATCACGAATCACGTGATTGGCTGATAAAATATAACAGATTGGACGAGACTTCACAGAAGTTGAAGCTCGATCATAATTTTATCAGCCAATCTGTAGTGATGAGGGATTAAGTGCCCTCCACTGCAGATGAACAATGTCCCATCACACACACTACAGATAGTTCTGACACATGGGACATTCAAAAACTGATCTTGTCATGCGCACATGCTCACTTAATCCCTCATCACTACAGATTGGCTGATAAAATTATGATCGAACTTCAACTTCTGTGAAGTCTCGTCCAATCTGTTATATTAAATTGTTAATGCACAATTAAGATAAAACGGATTCTAACCATTATACATAATCAATGTTAAAAATCGTCACATTTTCCTTTTGTATATTGGAGCTCATTTTTATCCTCATCAATGACCCCGAGAAAATCGAGTTACAGGGGGTTATTTTCGCTCCGATGATCATGGGTGACCACATTATCACCACTTGTATTAATATGAAGTCTAGGGCTTTTCTAGATTGCGCTTATGATAAGCAACTTCAGCAAACTTCGGGCCACAGTTATCAGATTGGGACGAAAGGGTAAACGTAAGATATCAAAATGTATATTATAACAAACTGTAACAATTATGAAACAAAATTGACAAAACGATGAAGAGCTCCTCAAAGACATCACATTACATACATCAACAAGCAGAAAGGTCTGATCTTGGGAAAATTGAAAGCTCAAATACTATATTATTAATATATATATTAAGCGATTCATGATCACCATTATCAATGAAGTTATCATTAAAGACATTTGAAATCAATAGATTTCTTATTAAATTTCAATTATTTTATATAAATGTTTTAAAATATAATTTTAATATCCCGGAATAGGTAAATTGTAAAAAGCGGATTTATCAACTTGTTTGACATCAATTTCTTTAAACTGTACACTGGGTTCGCGAGTCATTTCACTAGCAATTCCATCATCTGCTACTTCCGGTACGGGTGAATCTTCATTATAATCCGATTTCTCTGACTGATAATTAAGAGGTGGTGGTCGACGAATACAGAGTTCTCCAGCTGTTGGTTTAACATGGAATCTACCAGGATAACAGACACGTTCGTCTCTTCTGTTTTCCACATGGTCACTGATTATCTTCTGAGCTTTTTGTGAATTTAAAATAAGGTTTTGATCTTCCATGATTTCGGTAATTCGTAGATTATTTTTTATTGCTTTTGAGGCAGTAGATCGTGCGTGGAGTGGAAGATTTTCTTGATAAGCTTGGTCTGTGAAATTATCTTTGGGTAATTCTACAACCTTCTTGACTTGTCTGTTGGTTAATATTTCGTAAACTTTCTCAATAAGAAGAGTTGCCGCCCCTTCTTTACAATGAATTGTTCCAGAAATATACTCTGGGGGTATGTCAATACGGTGCCGTTTGAAAAAATTCTTTAACAGGTTCCAATTCTTAGTTTTTGGTTCCAGAGAGGTTCCATCATAGTACATGTGCATCTGAATATCTTGTGGAAAATACCATGAAAATATCTCAGCTATCAAATAGCCATTAGTTAAATCCCATTTTGGTGTTTTTATCTGCCATGTTAGATCTAAACTTTGTAACCATTTCACGACCTCACGATTTAATCCAGACATGATGATTCTACAATAGAAAATCATATTTTTTTAATTTCAAGCTTAAGATGATGAAGTTCCACATCATAATCAGTTGTTGTTAGGAAGTACTGGTTAGGACCTTTTAAAAGCATGTCGATAAGACTGTTGTGGTGAAGAGCTTTCAAAATTTTCAGAAAACACTCAGAAAAAAATCTCAAAAAGCAATGTGTTTGAACCTACTAATAAGTTTAAAAACTGTTTATCATGACATTTACGCCAAAAGATGTCAATGATCTTTTAGTGAGAGACTAGTAAGTCAAATAGTAATTGAAAATACGGCCCTAACTCCTTAACTCAAAACACTTTATGGATAACAATTACTACCTAATTATAACGTTATGACGATGTAACTCTCATTATCATAAACTAGAGTCGAAACGTCATAAAGTGGATTGTGATTTGAATATGATATCTTATCAATAGATTTATAAGCTTAGATCTACATTCAACCAAAATCATAGACGTAAGCTTCAAGACAATTTTCACAAACCTAGGCATAATTGGCAATTACTCAAGAAACATTCATCGATAAATAGCAATATATGCCTATCAACCTCATTGTATTGTCTATCTCATCAATAAGTTTAATCTAACATGTCTAAATCCAATCACAACTAGGCTATAAGTTCCCCTTTCGAGAGTGAAACGTAGAGGAGAGGCGATGTGAATATTAGGACAAAATAACTCAAAATCTTCCATCCATGATGGCTAGGTAGTCCTTCTGCCCCGGATTTCTTTTTTAAAGAAATATCAAGATCTATACGCGTAATTTTATAAAATAGATATAGGCCGATGGGTAGTGTCTATATGCTATATATTTCGTGACCCACATCCACGAATATCTTTAATCTACTTAGACTAAGAAACAGTAATTTGATCATTCAGAACAAGAAAATTAGAAAATATTTTACTTTACCTGAGTTGTGAAGAATATGTGGGTAGGTCCTGGAGGAGATCTCCTTTTTTATATAATTATGAAGATATTTTTGTAGTTTTTAACAATACAAATAACCTTTTAACGAGATAATCTGTGTCAATAATAAACACACAATAGACAGGGGTAACGGTAAAAATTTACTATTGAGTGCATGACAACTACAGTATTGTGACGTTTATTGATTGTTGTTAGGGACGCTAAATTAGTAGCTTTGATTATCTAGACTCTAATTTTATTTCCACTAATATAAAATTAGGCTACAGACCCCATAAAACTACACAATCTGGAATCATTTGGTTTAAGCGTTAGTTTATACATGATAAAAGATATAAGGCTTGCATAAATCGTATTTTTGAATGAGCATACAAAATAGAGGCATATCAATGACTGTCGGCACGCAATATACGCCCACGCCCAGTAGCGGTAAGATCGAGACAGTTGGAAGAAGAGTTAATATCACCAACATGAAAATTTAACTCTTAGTTATACACTTCTTTTAGAACTGTGACTTCATTAGTGTTTCCCCCCTCCCCAAAACAAAATAGGAGACATTTTTGTGCTTCTTAAGCAAGTCTTGTCCAAATTTTGAAAAAAACTTTATGGTCGACATCACAATATTATTGACAAATATGACAATTCTGTGACTAATCATTTCAAATTTACTCAATGCACGATGCATTTATCTCATCACTTATCAAAGATACTTATAATTTTGGATGGAAGTTTGAAAGGTCCATGACTGTCGACTGACATAAAAAAAAAATTTGGTAAAAGTATTATAAGAAACAACGTATAAAAATAGATGCTGTAGCATAATATAACCATAAAATGCGTATATGCTTAAACATTGTCTTTGGTTATTATATTGTAAGGTAAAAACGTTGTTCATCAAAATTGATTAAATATCATGTAGAAGAGTAAGAGTATTAAGTAATATAATGATTTCATGTGATTTTACGAGCACATCATTTTAGCATCCTATTAAACCGCTACAGTTGTAGGTCTTACATGAAATATAGAAATGTCAAAACAGAACCATATACACGATGTTACTCAGAATTTCACGCAGTGACAGTGATTTGTACTCTCTGAAATCGAAGTGATGACATGGTAGCCTATTTGCATGTACAGAAGATGTATGCATATAAAGTGTCATTTGATGTGTTTTAAAATAATGTGAAAATATTTATTGTTCAGTAACACGGAAATGAAAGAGGATAGAGAAGCCAATGTGTTGATTTATATTCACAAGTCAAATTGTCAACTTGTTCGTTACTGAAGTCAATTACTTTACTTCAATATTTCACAGTGTAAAAATCAATAGAACAATTGCTTTCTTCAACATTTATTACTAATTCTCTCGATTCAATTATCTTTATTTCTGATTCCATACAATACACGTCAATCGGGTTGAAAGTATCAACGATATTAGAATATAACTCATACATGGTGCCGAAGTATTAACAAATTAACTCCACCAGAGGCACCACGAATTTCGTTTTGATTGTGACGATTGAAATTCATTTCTTGATCTTTATTTCTGATTCCATACAATAGAGGTCAATAGAGGTTGAGATTAGAATGGAAAGCAACAACGATTGTAGAATATAACGTATGGTGTTATTAAATCTTGAACAGCCTGAGCATGAAGCATAATTCTGTAGATGTAATACATTTACGATATTATTTCTGGATAAAGTCATTCTGGCCGATGACAGATACCACCTCTTCTAGTAGTCAGCCTGGGACAATACACCGAGGCCCCATGTGCTGCAGGCTGTGCAAGATCCCTCGACAGTTTTAAGTCGAAAAACAGGAAGACTTATGCCGCTGCCCCGCTGCAATCTTGTCAATAAAAAGTATATATGACGTAAAACTTTATTTATTTCATTCCTGGATAACACCTCTGAATTCCAAGTTAGACCTGATGGCATAGAATGATTTTACTATTATAAACGATGCAAGTAATAAATAACCAGGAATTCTACAACTCTACAAACAATGTAGAAGAAAAAAGCTATACCAAAGCAATCACCATCAGAGCAAAAAAAAGTGAAAAAGACTTATCGAATTTATGATTTTCATTGATATCAGTGAGTCGGTAGGGGAGGGGATGTCATCCTATATCACAGGTAATGTTGGTAAAAACTGAAAAGGTCTAAAAATATCAAAGAAACAAACTATCGACTTTATTTTTTTTTAATGAATTGTTACATTCAATCTCCTAAAAGCAGTATAGATATTCTGGAAAGTCGAGCATGTCACGTCTCAGTTTACTGCGAAAATCGTCATCTTAATTATTGAAGTTTGTTTTTCTATCAAACAATAGAATCGTAATTGCTTGAATTATTTATTACCAAGTCTGATTATCCATTACTCTAATCAAATAGCTGATATTACACAATATCAATCTGTTAATGAGTGATTTAATATATTATTTATATACACCTAGTCTGTTAACATAATAACAACATTATATAAATAATTTAGGTTTATTATAGGAAAATATTGTAACATTAGATAACAATATATAATTTAATAACACATCATTAATACGTGACAAAAATAACAGGGAGGGATTCAATTTTTCAGTTAGATGGAAAACAATAGAAACAGAATAACTTGATATACCACAACGATACACAGATATCGGAACGTAAATTAACTATTTGATATACTGATCTATCTTTGTTTTTTTACATACAAAGGTTATTTCAAAGTTCTAATCGATATCTCACTCAGCCTGAAACAAAGTTTGTCTTTGTATCGGACCATCTTGTGAACCTGCCCAAAGCCAAAGCTCTTGACCGCGGATCAGAAACGTGTCAGTTTCCTGGCATCCTTTGAGTGTAAAATATAAATTATGCCCTTGATTTGAAAGCCCTGTTTTGCCCCACAGATTCCACCCGTTTCTAATCTTTTTTAAGGAGCCTTCAGAAAATACTTTGTTGACCTGCAGCAAGATTTTGCAGCAACTTTGACAAAAGTGTGTAATTTTGGAAAGGAAGAAAACGATCGACCTGGTATGAGCCTCTCAAAGTTAGAACTTTTCCGCCAGCTCTTTTAAGTTCCTATGACGTATTTCCACAATAAATATACATAGCCTCCTTAATAATTTATACTCAAATCTATATAGAAAACAGCTGCTGGTTAAAAATTACTCTTTTTATTTTGTTACATTTTAATGAAACTGAGTGAGAACTTGAGTTGAGTTTTTGAGGTTCTTCAGCATATCAAAACTGTGTCATCAGTAACTTATAAGATATATTGCTTGAAAATACTTTAAAATGTTATTTTTGGTTTAATTTCAATCTAAATAAAGACGAAAAGTTAATATTTTTTAGGTAGAAACAGTAGGTATAGGTAAACTATGAGAAGCAATATTTATAGAAACATTTAACAAGAGCAATTCAATTCAGTGCACAAAATACATCAATTTCTATGTGATACAGTATATTTTACATATTATCCTTATTCTGAGTATTATCCTTTTTTGTCCTCTGTCAGTGAGAAACATCGAAGGTCGAATTTTCGTCTTAAATCTGAAAAGGCTTCATTTGAATCTATTCATCACAGATAATACAAGATGATGACAACATAAAGCTACTTCTGATACTGTCACGATATTGTTGTTCACATTGAAAAGGTCAGAAATATCATTCAAGTACCTTCATCTGGAATGCTTTCTAAAATAGGAGATCTTTCTCTCTGTAGGTTTAATTTTGATGGTCCTGCAAGCTCCTGTTTAAATCCGAGGGAATGATCTGGTCTGGGGGAACGTCCGCCTTTCTGTTTGTCGGTTTTATTTAATACTTCAGTGGCAGTATGACAAGTCTTTTTTACTTGAGAATTTCTTTGAAGATATTCGTCATAATAATCCACTTCCACTCCTTCCCGTCTTTGTCGTTTAATTTGGGTGATAATTAATGTCATTAACGCAGTAGCGTAAAACATTATCACAATGATAACATATAGTAATTCATTTAGCTGACTATCACGGACTGTTTTCTTTAACTGAATCTGGATCAAAGTTCCATTAACAAGTAACGTAGGATTGCTGTCTCCATTGTGGAATAGTGTTCCATTAGCAACGTGAATCAAAGCCTCTTGTGCTAATGCCGGCATGATTAAAGAACACTGAATACTTGACTTCAAGAGAATTTATACATCATCAGACATGTCACAGAGTCAACAAGCTTTTAAATCACAATTATTGTTCAAATCATAACAGAATTTCCAATTTCTTTCTTAAATATCATTTATTTTCCAAAATAAGTAATTGTAAACACATTTTTTTTAACACAATGCATGTATTTATCCGAATTGTTCAAGGTTTGTGTGTTCCAGAAAACGATTTTGTACTCCACAACACTACAGAAACTATGGCAACCGTATTTATCGACAAAAGTATTATTTTTGTCAATTTTTATTTCTAATTAGAGTGTAGTTGGCATTTAGATCATATTCTATCACAGTTTTAACAACAAATCCCTCGGTAGTTTCATTTCCTGTAACATATCAAATAATTGTTATTAATCATTTACAAAACATTTATGGAAATATAGAAAATATTATAGTTCCTAATACAACCTGCTGTATTCCAAATATTATATATAGTTTAAAAGCTTCAGTCAGCTTATCCTGTAAAAATACCAGCTTATCCTATAACTAAGATCAACAACACAGTTAAACAACGTTAAAAGGTTAAGCCTTCACTATCTGTTATAAAACCTAGTCTATAAAACTATGGTACATATTAGTTAAAATACAGCCAGCTGAGTTTCCTCACCAATAGTGGTTAAACGGGAATTTTAATGTAAGAATTCACAGTATGTAAGATCTAATTATAAAAATCTACCCGAAGGCAGTTACAGCAGAAAATGTTAAAAGCCTCCAGAATAGTATGTTATTACCGAACTAACGAAGCAATTTCTCAGTAGACAGGAACCTTATTACTCGTTCAAGATGGAGTTATAAACCAGTGTCTTCTATCGCTGTCACACGCGCTGGTTTCCCGAGGGAATGCCTTATCAATCGATTATTGACGATAATCACTAGTTTATTGGAAGCTTTTTTCAATATAAAAGTCTGATTAACAAACCTAAAAGATATAATGTAAGGTTATAGAAATCCTGATAACTTTTCATTACAAGTATAACCGTCAGTATAACCGTCAATAATAACTGAACATACATTAAAATCAGCTGTATAGTCAATGGAGAAATAAGATATTTCCTCTGTTAAACCATACAGGCGTTTTACAAAATGCTTTAGGTTCTCAAGGGCAAATGAATGGGTCTGAAACCCCTTTTACATTACCCAATTTATTCGCTCTCAGAACGGAACGGTTGAATTTTGTGTAATGTAAATGGTCGAGCGTTCTGGGATCCGATCTGATGTGCTCTATATGGACACTAGGTAAATGATGTGCTCTATTGAACACTAGGTAAATGATTTGCTCTATTTGGACACTAGGCAAATGATGTGCTCTACTGAACACTAGGTAAATGATTTGCTCTATTTGGACACTAGGCAAATGATGTGCTCTACTGAACACTAGGTAAATGATGTGCTCTACTGAACACTCGGTAAATGATATGCTCTATATGGACACTAGGTAAATGATGTGCTCTATTGAACACTGGGTAAATGATGTGCTCTATTGAACACTAGGTAAATGATGTGCTCTATTGGACACTAGGTAAATGACGTGCTCTATTGAACACTAGGTAAATGATGTGCTCTATTGAACACTCGGTAAATGATATGCTCTATATGGACACTCGGTAAATGATGTGCTCTATTGAACACTCGGTAAATGATGTGCTCTATTGAACACTGGGTAAATGATGTGCTCTATTGAACACTAGGTAAATGATGTGCTCTATTGAACACTGGGTAAATGATGTGCTCTATTGGAAACTAGGTAAATGATGTGCTCTATATGGACACTAGGTAAATGATGTGCTCTATTGAACACTAGGTAAATGGTGTGATCTAATGAACGCTAAATTAATGATGTGATCTTTTGCACCCTGGGTCAGTGCTGAATTACCGATATTGTTTTTATAAATTTGATTGAATAGTGTTTATAGAAGAAACAGTAAGCTGATTTTTCATAAATTACAAAAGTAATCCCACGTACATTCAAATACAAATCCAAAGTCTGTATCAGACAAAACGACATTTGTCTTCATTTAAAAATACAATAAAAAAAACAATATCAGTCTCAACGAACCTTTCTATACGAATTAACGCTTTCTATATCCACGGCAGCCGGCACACAGCAGAAATATTTGTTTTTGTGAATCAGTACAGAATGAATTTTTCTCATTGTAATTTTATCTTGACCTCAGATATATTGATCGCAATACAAAAGACAGATTGGATAAACACAACTATAGATCAAGATAAATTTACAAGGTTTCAACGGAGGGAATTGTGTGGGTTGGCGGTGGTAACAACGTTAAATCATCTATGTTATAAAAATCAGGAATAGCCATGCCTATTTTATTTGTAGGCTACTGAATTTCATTAAATCAAGTGGGAATCCTCCAGTTGCCCTACAGCAGGAAGTACTTCTTATTTTTAAGTTGCCACAATAACCTGCAGCTTCCAGAGTGATAATGTCATCCATTACCGTTTACACTCTACATTTCACTCCATCGTATCTATTACCATTAGGCTAAAATAAACTTGGCTTACATAATATCTCTAACATGCTATATATATATTATGTCAATGCAAGGAAAGATTAAAGTGCGTGTTTTTTATGCACAATTGTGACAGAATATTCTAGAAACGGATTAGTAAATTGCATTCTCAGCTGGCCTTCAGCAACCGACCTCTAACCGGAAAGATTTTATAATTTTTTGCAGTTCGATTCCATATTTTTACGAAAATATTCGTGTCCATTCTGTAGAACCTAGACAGCGATTAAGGAAACGTAGCTTGGGTATTTGGGTATATTAAATGTATCTGTGTATTTGCACCATTAATAAGCCATGTAGGATATGAAGTACGTATGAAAGCCACTGCCATATTGATTAAAACTCATTAACTTGGGTAATTAGATGTCTTTCTTTCCGAACAAAAAGTCTGATATCAAAGCAACCTACTAATTAACATCACGAAGGTTATTCTTAACACATTCAAATATAGCTTCTTTCAATGGAAAGACTAACAACATACAGTATAACATTATCAGTACCAATTAATGATATACGTATTGAATATCTGCAAGGAAAATTAGGTGACACACCCCTTCGCACAGTGGCATGATCGTCAATGCAACCTTTTACATACTAGCATCAACCATTCTGATATCTTGGATTTTCAAACACCCTTTCAAGGTTGCATGTGCAGATAAGTAGGTCCTTGATACAGGTCGAATGGTTTATTTTCAGATAATATAAACATTCACAAACTATCAGTGGTCCCTTTTCTTGATAAGTGGTATTTTTTAAAACATTGGTATTTTTTAAAACATTGTTTATCATTAATCATGATTTCTCTTTCGTGGTTAACTTATAAATCACAATTTTGAGGAGAAGACCTAGGTTATGCAGAATCGTTAACGAGAGTAATTTGATGTGATTTCGTTTCGCTCATTTAATGTGGGTTATTTCATTTATAAACTCACAGAAAATGAATTTTAAGAGTTATGATTTAGCTTAAATAACAAACCGTTTAAGGTATGATCATATAAGAGTAATAATAGTGCTTTCAGATTTACAGAACTACTCCACTTTGCTCCGCAGTACAGTAAATCTGAAAGCACTAATATTACTACTATACAGGGGATCGGAGCGGAGTAGTGCTGTATATCTGAAAGCTCTTTTTCATACTTGTAGGCTAAGCTTGTATTTATACAGCACATGAGCAGACATGAAAGTCAGGCCTTCATGATATATTACTCCATTATTACACAGACAATTAGTCTAATCTAACATGGACTCTTCATAATATACAGTAAGACAGTAAATAATGATCAAACAATAGACATAAACAAAATATACTGACCAAAAAATCCATTGCAATTCTTTAATGTCTGCTTTATTATGTGGAGTTGAATCTGTCAGCATTGTACAGCGTCGCAAAAAGCATATAGAGCAATTGGAATCGTGGTAGACGATAAATATTATGCTAAACTAAAATAGTGAAAATATTTTACATTAACTAATTGCTATATTCCCTGCAGTCAGAAATTTCACACAGTTTTATAGATGTAATCTAATTTTTTTATTGGAGGAGTGTCAATTTTTCTGTTGGCTTTTTACTGTTGTAGGCCTAGTAACTTAATCAGGTATTCAAAATTTTAGAATTCATGTATAAAACAATTTAAGAGCTTCAAAAAGATAGCTCGATTTCAAATCCCCATATAACTCCCCTCAGTATTTATAAATGGATGTATTTGGTGACGTCAATGAGCGAAATTTCAGTTATCTTTACTTCAACGAAGGCCTACGTTTTTTTTTTATCTTATTGTAAGCAAATCATATGTCAAATTTTCATTTTAAAAAAGAACTACGCCAATAGACTTAGATATATAACCATGTAACTTCTGTAGGTTCCAATTTTTCTAACAAGGCGCAGACTAGGCCTACTTTATTTTAATGAACATTATCGATATCGGACATGCCAGGTCAATTTCATTTATAAATTGTTTCATGAAATTCAGACCTTCATAATCTATAATAAATTATTTTAGCAGTCTTCGGTAGTCTTCAATTATTCGGTTGTCAAAAGATAAACGAATTTCATCCAATCACAAATAAGCTTAAGATTGCTGCGCTCCGTTTCTGTAAAGTTTTGTATTTCCGTTTTCGAGAAGAAAAAAAACAAGTACTAAAATTCGATTGATCCTCGATCAAAAGTCATGAAATGAGAGAGTTTTGAAAGTTTTGATTCTGTCTCTCCAATATGGCAACTGGGGGCGAAAAGCGTTTAGAAGAAAACACTGTTGAGGTATTTTGGTTGACTTATTTGTAACACATTACTCCCAGACCAATGTTTGACGTTTGTATTGAAATTTTTCTGTCAGTGTCATTTCTTTTCCAAATTTCTTCTCTTCTTCGGCCTGGTGAATAGAAATATATGGTCTAGTGATTTGACATTTGAAATAAGCAATCTTGGCATGTGTTGCCATGCTCATCATCCTAACCTCAAGAACTGTGCTAAGGCCATCTACGCCTTTCAGAAGTAACTTTGTGCTGATATTTTGCAAATTGTGCCAAATCTGGCCTTGAACCACTTGGCTATCTTAAAAGACTTACTTTTTATATGCCTGCTTTTTTTAATTTAGTGTTTGGCAGAGGTATTTCGATGTTTCATCTGTATGGAAAGATTGAGAGATGCAAGATTGTGTCCTCATTGTTCCAAACTGTGCTGTTTCGCATGTATAAGGGTGAGTATCCATATTTTAAAAAAATATTTATTAACTATTAAGGCCGGTCACAAGCATTACTTCCAGAGAAATAATTTTGATAATAGTTGTAGTTGTAATGGAAGTTGGCATAACTTTTGTAAACTATAAAACCTTGAAGCCACAATATGAATACTTCTAATGTTACATCAATTTCATCTTTAATATAACTTTCTAGACATGTAACCTCATTTGATTCATTGTACCAATTAGATTGATTTGTCTTTTGTAGAGATGGTTAACTGAGCAGAGATCTCAATGTCCACATTGCAGGTAGAGTTTTAAGGCTTCACTTTAAAATCTCAGCTCTAGGCCCTAAATTGGAATTATGTGAAGACCAGTAAGCAAAATGTTTCTGAATAAGTAACATATGGTCAAAAGGTTTAAATGGTTGAATTCTCATGCAAAAAGAAAAGAAAACAGTCTATAAGCTTACAGAATTGAACCAACAAAATTTTGATTGGATTTGAGATGAAACTGAGCCTTTCTGGAGGACTAATTCTTGATAATGATTTATTTCAGAGCATCTCTTCACCTACATGAGCTGGTTAATTGTCGATGGGCAGAAGAAGTTACTAATCAGCTGGATACATTACAACAGTTTGTACCAGCACCACCTTCTGATGTTTCTTCTGAGAGTAATCAGTAAGTAGCCTGTAGAACTCAAACAAACTTTGTAATCTTCAATGCTCAATTTATTTGGTATAAAGCACTTTTATTCACTCATTTTACTTATGTCATATTTGCGCTATATCCTATTATGATTATTTGATATTCCAGTTAAATCTTCTGATTTTTTGCAGGTGTGAAGAACATAAGGAGAAATTAAGTGTATATTGTTTAACTTGTAAAGAATGTATTTGTCATCAGTGTGCTCTATGGGGTGGCACAGTAAGTGGTGATATTATTTTCCAATATAATTGAATTATCTTGGTTGATATGTTTTGTTGATTATCCTTAAAGCTACTCATCAGTGTGACCATTCAATTATTGGTCAATATATATTCCATCTATGTAACTTTAAGTGTTTTAAAAATTCTATTAGAGTGGTAGTATGTGTGAATTGACCAAGTATGTATTGATATATTTGCATCATTGAGGATAAGTAAAAACCCCGTGTTGAACACTGGGAGGAAGTATTAAATCCTTAATTCCATTTTAATGAAACTGACGCACGCTGTCCTTCTAAAAAAATATATGTGTGTCCTTTTGTTTTAGCATTCTGGCCACACCTTTAAACCATTAGATGGTGTTTATGAAGAACATGCTAAGAAATTAACTGATGAACTCAATCAAGTTAAAAGGCGCCATATTGAATTAATCAGCTTGGTTCAAGATGTGGTATGAAATTATTTCATTTTGTGTTTTGTGGATTTAATGCTGATCTATTCAGGACTATTCTTTTACTAGTTGCTAGTTATGAGTTTCTAATAACTTTATGCAGGACAAGATATATTTTGAAAATCTGAATGAAAGTCTTGGGTCCTAAAACCATATCCCGTCTATGAGTCTTTGAGCTAACTATTAGCAATAATTACTTTTATTATACAACCACATCTTTCTATGTAGACTAGAAACCCATGTTCATCTGTCCATCCTATCAAAATTCTTTAGAATTTAAGATATTGACACAATTCTTTGGACATGCTTCAGAATCTATAGTTTTTGACAATTCTTAGCACATGCTTCAGAATATACAGTGTTTGACACAATTCTTAGGACTTGCATCAGACTCAACAAGTTTTGACTAATTTGATGTGGAATATTTGGATGTCATCCACTTTCTTATAAATTACAGGAACATAATATAGAGAGTGTAAAGAATGCTAAAGATGAAAGAGTGAGAGAAATTAGGAATGCTGTAGAATTGATGATAGCTAGATTAGAATCACAGATGAAGAGTAAATTACTCACTCTAATGGGTTAGTGACGGTTTTTAATGATTGTGTTACTTAATTTTTTAACCTGAATATCGTGAATGACCCATTGGATTTTATAACTGAATGTCAATGAGAGGGTTTAAAATGGAAAAAGCTTTAAATGGGACAATAAATCCAACATCTGTGTTGACAGATTTTTTTTAGTCCTATGCTACTGTCCAAGCGAACCTCTTCTCCTTGTGTATTGTATGGTATTATGAAGAGCTTCATTTAACATCAATTTCAGCTTCTGTCTTGTAGTAGGCAATGTTTCAAAATATTTATGATTCAAAATTTGAGGCATTCTGCTATCTGTCAGTTGGTTTATTTAGTGATATAGTATCATCAAAAAAGTTTCAAAATTTTCATTGCATGTGTTTTGTTTGATTAGTTTGAATTTTGTTTAGAAATAGACTTCAAAATACCCATGAGAAAACTACAGAATTTCGTCTCATATAGGTCAAAGAACAAGGTTAAGTCATGAAACTGAAGTTTTAGAAACAATCATTCAACGTGCTAATACAGACCTAACAACACGCAGCAAGAGTCATCTTATACAACAATTTAAAGATATGATGGAAATATTTCGACAAGTTCATAGAGGTCAAAGGTCATCTTTCGTAACAACACCAGTTCAAGCCGATTTCAATAGGTTTGTAACCATTAACTTGATTGGAATTCATATATTTCATTAGATATAAAAATAATGACTTTAACAGGAAAAGATGACAGATTGCAGAAGTGAAATTTATCAATACATACTAAAATAATCACATATTATGATTGTTATACCTCATCTCTTTCATTTATTCTCATATCACCATGACATTACTCTTTAATAAAACCACAATCATTCAATTATTGGCTGATATTTTGCCTCTCAATTTCAGTGAAATAGTTCCTCAGTATGATACTAGTACATTTGAAATGAAGAATTTTAGTTTACTACGTCAACGTGCTGATCCTGTTTACAGTCCACCATTAAATGTTTCTGGTTTAGCATGGAGGTTAAAGGTCTATCCTGTACGTATTATACTTTAAAATTTGTTTAATCTAAGAAATGTTTCTAATGAATGAATCTGTTAGGTGAAGTGGTAAAGGAAATTTAGTGAGAACACTTCCATGCAGTGATTGGCCAAAAATCAGGATAATATGCTAAAAACAAAATGCACGCTTGCCACGAGTACATCAATTGGTATGTCAATCTACTATTACAGTAGAAGTGTGATACATGCATCTTTGTTGATTTCTATTTTTCAAGGCCCAAGACATTACAGTTCAGATTATTTTTGTGGCCTTCCTTCATACAAACATATGAGTAACTGGTATTTATGTCTGAATCATTACAGCAAGTGTGAAAGAAAGAAACTTTCCAATTTTAATGATAATGTTTTTCACTGATTTAATTAATCTTGGAATTGTAGGATGGTAATGGTGTTGTAAGAGGTCATTATTTATCTGTTTTTCTAGAATTATCTCAAGGATTACCTGAAACTTCCAAGTAAGTAAAAGAAACTTTGATTTCACTGTATTCATATGCTTAAATAGCATAATAGCTATATTTTACTTCAATCTTTGTTGACTTTCTTATTACCTGGAAAAATTTCCCTCATTGCACACTGCATGTTTTAGCCTAAACTGGATTACTAAGGATGTATATAGAATTTCATGTCATTTCATATTATATTTTCATTATAGATATGAGTATAGAGTAGAAATGGTTCACCAGGCTTCCAGAGATACCAGTAAAAATATTGTCAGAGAATTTGCTTCTGATTTTGAAGTTGGAGAATGTTGGGGTTATAATAGATTCTTCCGTTTAGATCTGTTAGTAAATGAAGGCTATCTAGATCCCACCAATGATACTTTAGTGCTACATTTCCAGGTCAGAGCCCCAACATTTTACCAAAAGTCAAGGGACCAGCAATGGTAAGATAATTTTTTATATTTCATGTTTGCTCAAAGTAAGAATTTGATACATTTGAAAACTTTGAAATGTTGAAAGAATGTATTTTGATATCCAATTCCACTTTACTAGAAATTGTTACTGAAATTATTTTGCCATTTTCATATTATTCACTGAAAATTTACAAATCTACACCACTAAAAACCTGCGTATCTTTGAAATGAAATCAAAACACTCTTGGCAAATCTTCACTAAAAATTGTTTATCTTTTGAAGTGTGATGAATTCACGTATATGTAACTAATTATATTTTATATTTACAGGTATATTAATCAATTAGAGACAGCACAGTCTCAATCAGCTCAACAAATATTAGATCTGAAAGAGGTAAGTATGTATAGTTTACAAATACTAGCTCATTCAAGATGGAAATAGTAGTCTGACTAACATTTGTATGATCTTTCGAGATCAAGTAATGACTTTTTAGTGTATGATTACTATTAAAAGTGACTAAGATAAATAAGCCCACTGTTTGCTGTCAAAGTTTTGTTGAAATAGTAATCTATTGAAAAAGCTTCTTCAAGTTACTGGTGATAAATTGAAAGAAGTTTTATATTTATAAGATAGAAATACTGACAATGATATGATAATTACACTGTTTTTTACAGAGATTATGTCTAGAGATCTCAAGAAATCAAACTTCTGGTGACAATGGTGCTACTTCTGGTCAGTATCTGTCTTTCCATATGTACAATGTCTCTAAAAGTCATTCATTTCACAGCATATAGTTGATAAGATATTCTATAATCATTCATAGTATTTATATTTTTATGATTTATTTTCTGAGGCAAAAATAAATAACTAATCTTCCATATTTAGCTTAAGAGATTTTTAAAACTTTTTATGTCTAGCATCAATTTGTAACATTCAAATTTTCAATCAGACGTCTGTGGTTCCCTCAAAAAAAAAAATTGTAGTGTTTTTATCACTACGTAATGAATTCTTAGACAATATTATTTTTTACAAAATTATTTTTGTTGTAGAATCTTCTGCCCATCCTGATGATTCACAAACTAATGATTGTCCAGCTCCTTGTCCAACTTTACATAAATTACATCCTAAACCATTACGACCTGATGTAGGAGAGTTAGATTTAGTACATTTAGATGATGATTCTGATAACTATACTACTGATTCAGAGGTTAGTATTATCTTCTTACGGGGGTCACTCGATTGGCGAGTTCTGCACATTCAGGATTCATGGAATCAAGCAGACACTCAATGAAACTAGTTGGAAGAGGGTTAAGATGAATGTTTAATGTTTTCAGTAAATGATTTTGAATTCATTCCCTTGACCCACTTTCTTTATGAAGAATTTTTAAATTGTGTATCACTTTCAAGGTTGTATTTTTGAAGGAAACCCAAAAAAAAAATTCTGATAAAAATTTCGGTTATAGAATATTCTCTTTTGTATCTTTTTTTTGGGGGGTTATGTTGTTTGATCTTGTATTAAATAAATAATTTGAAAGAAAATGCCCTTAGCTGTATGTTCAATCTTTACATTGATATCCTCTTTCCTTTAGGAGTTAAGTGAAGAAGAGATGTTAGATACAGGTTATATTGATGGTACTGAAGAAACACCAGATGATCCTCCTCAACAACCAGAATCTTCACATGATGGTGATGAGAATGATATTGATGAAGAAACAATGTGAGAGGATTTTCTATTTAAGATGATAAAAGCAGTTTGTGGAAAGAAAAAGCAATTCAATTCTGTTAATCAAAATCTCATCCTCATCCAAAAACGACCCTTTTGTAGCTGAGTCTGCTGAAAAAAAGAGGAAACATGACTCACTCAAGATCAGGATTCTCTTGTATTTTGTAAGGTAATTAAGGTTTATTAAAGTTGTTTGTTCTATTGTAGGTCTGTAGATAATGATGTTGATGATAATGCTATGAATCATAACCAGGATCTGCTACAATATATTCGAGCTAACAGGTATTTATATGATTTTGTATTGTATGGTTGTATAAGATTTCTAAGAATGCCTGAATTTAGGTACAAAGTATGTCATTGAGTCTCTATATTTAACACCCTTGGATTATTTAACCTGATTTTCCTCGTTCCCTGTGATGCAGGAGCTGAAAATTAATGATTAAAGAAAGATGGAAATAGAAACAGCTAAATTTCTGTTACTGTATTGATAAAAGTTGTTAGACACAGCATAAATGGTCTGAAAATTACTGACTAAATACACCACTGCTGTTTGAATATATTGTTATTAGAAATATAAAAGAGTAATTTATTTTGTTAGATTGGGTGGTGATGATGAAACTAGAAGATTACATGAATTATTAGATGGTCAAACATCGGATTTCAATCCTCTTACTGTTGCATCTTTTGCTGATACACCTTCATCATCTGGTATTTATTACCTTTATACTTCTTAGGAATGAAATGAATGGATGTTTACTTTTCAGCACCATGTGGGCTAATGAAGAAGGGCAACACCATGTAGGGTAAAACAAGGAAAATTTTGCCTGGACAGCTTCTTTCCGATTTCCAACTGTTATTTAGGTGTAGGTTTTCATGACAAATTCTGTTAACTAGCTAAATTGATGCAATTTTGATTTGCCTCTGCTTGATGAATGATGAATAGCCCTGTCTCAAATCAAAGCTTGAAAAACTTGGGTCCAAGGCTGTACAGCTGTTCTCTGAATTATTTTTTTGTTTAGATCATCTTCATTGTTGTTTTGTCCTGTTTTGTTTGTGTTTGCTCATGTTTCTGTAGAAGTGGTGCAGTTTCTTTATCGTTATAAAATCTTGTATTTATTCCTTCATCTGCAGCTTTTTTGGACGAATTATTTGCTGATTGTACATTATCCACAGAAGCAGCCAAATTCAAGCCACCAAAATCAAAACATAGTAAATCCACTACAGTTAATCCCTCCTCATCAACAGATGAAGTATTAGAACATATTCATGCTAGATTCTCCGAGCTTGCTGCCAGTACTATAGCTGCAGCCAATTCTGCTGTTACTAATGAAAATGAGGCTAAATCTCACAATGTCGAAAAGGGTATGTATTCACTTCTCGAGTTTTTATACTCTCACATGGAAATGTATATTGCCATTTCCCCTGTCTGTCGGTCCGTCTGTCAATATTTCTTTTGAGCACATTTTCTATGAATGGTTTTTGAGTTATTGCCCTTGACTTATTAAAAACGCTCAAAATTTGTTTGTGAGAGCAATAGAGACTACAGTTTTCATCTGATTTTAATGAAATTTGGTATGATCAATTATGACAAAAGCATCTTGGTCAAGTTCGAGTTTGATGATATTTGGATGAACAGTTTGTGAGTTATTGTCTTTGATAAAATTTGTTTGTGTGCATAATAGATATTTGTCTTCATACGATTTAAATAAAATTTTGTGTGATCATTCATAATTATGGTCAAGTACAATTTGATGATTTTTACATGAACTAGGTTTGAGTTAATTGCCCTTGACAAGTGCACAATAGATTTCTTCTCAATTTAAAGAAATTTGGTGTGATCATTTATATTGATGAGAGTTTTGTGAAGTTCAAATTTGATGATTAATGGATGAAGGGATTTGGATTAATGCTATTGATTGAAAAAGATTTTGTGGGATAAATATATAATAAATAATTACAAATGTTTTATGAATATCTTTAAAATTATAAAATTCATATTTAAGTCACTAAAGACTTATTATTTCTGACAGCTGCCAGTGAGCGTATGTTACCAAGCTATCAAGACTAGACTAGACTATCAAGCTATCTTTGATAGTCATAATAGTACAATGCAATGATTTGATTTATTATATTACGAAAATATAATTTTCTTAGTTTGGTGGTTCATCATGTAATATATTTTCTGTTCTCTGCTCAATTGTATTGCATTATTTTAGGTTCTAATTATCAACTAGGCTACAATGGGCTTGCCAAATATCTATTGACCCCATTTCTTCATAGGGATTTAATCAGTATAGAACTGCCATTTTGCATTTTTATTGATTCTTGCAGAAAAGAAACCTACAAGATCAACCTTTAATATTCATCTAGATCCATTGCATACAAGTTCTAGTAAAGATAAATCTACTAAAGCTTCTGAGGGAAGAAGAAAGAGCCATTTTCCTAATTCACCAAGAGGAGCATGTATTCAAGGTTTGTCTTTATGATTAGTGCATTATGTTAAGCTTTGATCTTGTAGTGTTTTATTTCACATAAAGGTTCTTTACCAAAAGATTTTGATAATTGAATTTATGTTTTGCATTTAAAAACAAAAAATGCATAAATTACTGAGGTGTTGTTTTACGGAGTAGAGATCATCTGTGATAGTAACACATGCTGAAAATAAATCTCATCGGCACAGCTAGTTTTAGAAATAGAGATACAGAACTTACTCTCTGAAACAGATGGGATTGATGATAACACTAGTCTAGGTCACAAGAGTAATATTTTGCAGTTTTGAAAATGTAATTAGGGGAAAAAACGGAAATTAATCATTTGGATCCTGTTTTGGAATGCACCAGTATTCTATTTGTAATATAAGAGGATATATTTGAATATTTCAGGAGAAGAAAGTTTGCTATCATTATGTGATTCATCTCTAGAAGAAGGGTTTTTATCTGATATGTCATTAGATTTAGCTACCACTACTAATCCCCCAACTCTATCTGCTCTTTCCAGAAAAGGGTGAGACATATAGCATAATGAATATTTAGCTCAATAATAGAACACAACAAGATTCAGTACACTTTAAACTTGAATTTTTATACCCTTGTTTACTGTTGTATAATAACCTCTGTCTGTTCATATTACTTTATTATGTTCTTTGCTTTAACAAACCAGATGTGATATTCAGCCAGAACAGTTTTCCTGCTCTGTAGGTTTATTCTTTGACTTCTCATTGAAATATTGGTTTAATTGTACACAAAGTTGCAAATGATGTTGCCTCAAGACTTCATAAATTAAAACTTCTTAATTAAAAATCAGTTTTATTGTTATGAAATCAATATTAATTTCTTCTCTCTCTCTCTCTCTCTCTATATATATTGATGTTTATTTACAGGAAACCAGACCACGAAAAAGGAAGTAAACCAAAGAAAGTTCATTCATTACCTGCCATGAAAGATCTAGGAAATCAATGGTCACTGAATTTTAAAAAATCTTCAAAGAATGACAAGAAACCAGGAGATGATTGTGCTGAAGTAGAAACCAAAACAGTAGTCCAATCTAAATCTGATACTTCTGATACAGCATCAGATACAAGAGGTGAAAATTCATCAAGAAGTCGTGATACTCTGGTAGAATTCAGCATTCAAAATCTAACCAAGGATAGGTAGGTATTGCTGTAAAATAGTATAATTATAAAATATCTGTCGTATTCTCATAGTTATCAGGAATGATATTAAATTGAGTTTTTGTAACTACCTATAGTTCTATATAGTTTCAGTAGTAAATAATTGTTACCAAACAGAAATGATTCTGATTTCACTTTTATCATCTTGGTGCATGCTGGGTTAGTTTTTTCAAACATTTTGAAACTGAAAATTCTCTGAGTATGTTTAACTTTACTGAGTTCCAAGATTTCATTATGATTCAGTATGTTTAGCCTGTCCATAACTTAATGAAGATTATTTTGTACCTATTTAATTATTTCAGATCAAATGATAGTGATGATGCTTCAGTAGTATAACAGCTATTCCAACTATAAACTCTCATTACCTGTGATATCATGTAATCTGTTAAATATCAAAATACGCATTATGCATTTTCTGTCGTCTTACAGTTGGTATCACTGTGTGATCAATATATTCATTGAGTACATTTGTAAGCTTTTTATTCTCCAGTTTTTATATATATTTATCTGGAAGTCTATTATAACATTAGTTTATGATAATGCGAATTTAATTACATGTATGTATAGTTGAAAGATGCAAGAGCCATTATTTATTTTCTATGTTTTATTTTTCAATTTTGTTATGTTTTACTCACAGAATGTGCTAAATTTGCTATTTATTGTGTGATATGATGTAAAAAGGCTGAGATACAGCTACTGAGTAAGATTGCTTATGATCCAAATGTATTAAATTTTCTTGTCCTATGTCACTTGATCTGTATCCACTTCAAATTAAAGTGAGGCTCTTGTCAAGAGTTTCATTGATCGGCTTCGGGCACACAAGGAGACAGAAAATCTTTAAGTTGGTCGTTTTCTTCATGTTGATAATAATGTGATGATCATGCTGTTGAAGTGAAAATGAATTGGATGACACTATGTGAAGTCTTTTCTCAGCACGTGTATAATCAAATGAAGAAAACAATGGCTAATGGGAGAAAATTTGTGTTTACGACAAGATCTCAATTATATTCTTAGCGAGATCATACAGAAAAATTTTCAAAGAGTAACCTTTTTTTATTTTCATGTGAAAAATCCTACCTAATGCTTGTGTTGAAAAAGTTGATGAAAATAGTTAAATGTACAGTTGTGGAACTTAAATGTGACTCAAGTTTGCCTACCATTGTGCTAATAAAAAAAAATGTAAATATAGAAATTTGGTAAATAAATTTTGTTTGAAGTTGTTTTACTCTGGCTTTCGTTATTCTGTGTTAGTATGAAAAAAAAAACATGTATGCATAATGACCTGTGATTGACCTTTCTAAGGCATAGGTTGATTAGTTTTAGTCCATGGGTACCGACTTCTCAACCCTTGGTTTGATTCTATCAGTATATTTTAATTCAGTTTCCCTTTGAAATGCTAGATGAACAGACTGACATGGAAACACTTGTGTCTTTCAGATGAAATGAAAAACAAAAGCATGGCATGCTACTGACAATGCACGCTGATAATGGATCTGAAAATATTATTCTTATCACACATTGAATTATCTCTTTTTGTTAGCTTTAATAAATGATAATGCAAATACATAACATTATTATATTTTATATCTTTATTTTATCTGTAATTCTTATGACTTACATATTACATAAATGTCCTCTTTCAATTGCCATTTTCATCAATATCGTACACTGAATAGAACTTACAAAACGTTTCTACTATAGTAAACCACAAGCAAGTTCTATGCCATCAATGTCAATAATTGATTTTATTATTCAACTGGCTGATTGCACATTATCTTCACCTTTCTCAGTTACATTTTCCAATTTTTTTCTATTTCTAAAGGCATCTAAATAATCTATTGGATGAACTGGCAAGAATCCAGATAAACCTGAAAAAATATTTAAGAAAACTTTGTAAGACATACTCATTAAAACTAAGATGACAAAGCTATTCAAGCATGAATATTGTACAGGACTTCTGTTTTAACAGTTTCATAAAAGTATTAACAGACGTCTGATTTTCATTCTAATAGTGATACAGAAGACTGAAATGGAGGATAACCAGCTCAAGTCCTCGCTCTGGTACCTTACATGACAGTTGAATCATAATATCAAATCAATTATGCACTAATATTTGAAATGTGTCCAAGAGTATGGAAAATAGTTACCCAATAGTCTTTCAAGTGGTTGGGAAAGTAGAGCACCTTCACCCATCCAATATCGTACTCTTTTTAAATTAACAGCTAGTATTTTTTCATTATTCAGATTGGGTAAAGGCTCATAGAAGCCTAAAACTTCTGTTGGTCTTCCTTGTCTTGGATTGTCTTTAGGGGTTACAACAATTTCATAAAATGGTCTATTAGTACAACCTTGTACCCTCATTCGTATCAGCTTAAAGGCTCGATATTTAAATCGTGGCATCTTGAATCCTTAACTATAATAAATATACATTAAGATACGGTAATTTCATTAAATTACTACTGGTATTCATTTTTACTACTCTCTATTTTTTTAATTAGACATTTCTTGAGAGAATGGCATTTATACTATGCCTTGTTCCAATATGTCTGAAGATATTATGATATTTATAGTAAGCCTCAAAGTAGAAGAATTTATATCATAGCCAGGGAGGCTATAAGTATAAACTGATAATTGACTGGCTAATAAGTGACTTTGTTGTTGGACATGTATCACAACGAAGTGTGCCCCTTGTACTAGAACTAGTAGACCTAGTTTAGTGAAGCATAGGGTATCATTGCAAACTTATAGTTGATAAATAAGGGTTGTAAGAATCTGTTCTCACCATTCAAAAGGTTAATTGAATCAAATTAGAAAGTGCAAAACAGACTTGGGAGCAGCAACATGTGAATGTAAACAGTATCGTTCACATTTAATCAATTTAAAAATCGAAACGAATAATTCACAATCATACTTTTAATCTAAAACAACATTTTGCCTCTTGATTATGATCCATTCAATGCATATACTTCAAAGTGATCAATATTGATTCCCGTGGAAAATAAATTGTGCAATTTATACCTTGTATTTTTACAATATTTCGTTTTGCGCTAGTGACTCCATTGACGAATTTGTACAATTCCTCAAATATGGCGACATTGGAAGCAACACCGATTTGGGAAGATGGAGAAGTTAGTATTTCCCTTATTCATCTTATGGATAAATAATACTTTTGGGAGAATAAATGAAGCCTTAGCAATATCCGAATCATTATCTCCAAAGACAGTTTTCCAGAAACACTTCTCCATCATCGATATAGATTTTTATCAGATGCCTGTGCGCGTTTGTCTCTATTTTGCTGCATCACGGTTCAGTTTCATGCATTTCATTCAATTTCAAATAGACTATCTGTCATTCACTGTACTTCATCTGGCTTATTATATAGGTTACAACAGATACCTTTTGTTTAAAGTTGAGTTATGAGGCCCAAATCTACTTTTGGTAGAAACTGACTCCAGACAGAAGAAAAAAAGTCGACGTGGTTGTTAAACTTTAGACTAGGAAAACATATAACTATGACTATGAGTGTGGCATAAATAGGCATAAGGTAACTTTGTCTGTCATTTGATACCTTTCTTTGCATTTAATTTACTTCACTGAATTCTTTTTTCAGGAGTCACTTGGAGAAGAAGTTCTTCGTATGTCAACGGATGAGATCGTCAGTAGAACTAGACTGCTTGATAATGAAATTAAGGTAACAGCACACTGTTATTTGAAATCTTCTGACTCTTTATGAAACTCTGACCACTAGTCTTTTTCAGGCAGAAAATCTTTTGATGCAATTCTGTTGAATCAGTTGCATGTGGTTCTGTTCATACTCTTTGTTACAACATTATAAAGGCTTTTGCAAACTGAAACTTTTTGATATATTTTAGGCCTATTTATTTTTCAGATAATGAAATCTGAGATCATGAGGATCTCCCATGAACTACAAGCACAGAAAGAAAAGATCAAAGAGAATAAAGAAAAGATTAAAGTGAATAAAACACTGCCATATCTTGTTTCAAATGTAATTGAGGTAAGCTTATCTATTCTTATTTGTTCAAGTTTTGTTTCAGATAATAGTTACTGTATTTTGCAACAAGCCTATAATTTGATTAATACGAGTATCTACCGGGTAGTAATGATTGGATTGATTTTTAGTTATTAGACATGGATCCCCAAGATCAAGAAGAAGAGGATGGAGCTAATGTTGACTTAGATGCTCAACGAAAAGGAAAATGTGCAGTTATCAAGACTTCTACTAGACAGGTTAGTTGAATATATGATAGAAATTAATATTATGTAGACAATGTAGAAATTAGAGTTAATTCTAAATGATGTATAGAAAAATACATGATAACAGATGTTTTTGTTCTTTTCAGACCTATTTCTTACCAGTGATTGGTTTAGTTGATGAAGAAAAATTAAAACCTGGAGATCTTGTTGTGAGTATTTCATTTATTTCCTTAATTTTAAAAATACTGTTTAAGTTAAAAAGGAATTTTTGAGGGTTGGTGAATACTGGAATCGGAATTTATAGCATATGTAATATTGCCTCATATAAAGATATAGAAATATCACCATATAGTTAAATTCTTCTATTGTTTATTATTATTACTGTTTGATTTCAGGGAGTCAACAAAGATTCATACCTAGTTTTAGAGACTTTGCCAGCAGAGTAAGTATTACTTATATAATTTGTCTTTAACTGAACTTACAGGTTGAAGGTATGAACTAGTTTTGGAATATGTGCAATTAGACTCTTACTTTTCATTATATTTATGATTACGGCTAGGGAAATTTGTATTTGGTGCCATTTTCAACTCCTAGACAAATATAGTCACTAATGAAATGTTGTTTTTAGATATGATTCGCGTGTAAAAGCTATGGAAGTTGATGAGAGACCTACAGAACAGTACAGTGATGTTGGAGGTCTAGATAAACAGATTCAAGAGGTTTGTTATTATTTTAATATTTTTTGTATTTTTTTTTATCAAAATTTATTCTGTGCATACTTTGTATCCTGTCATTTTTGCATATGTATATAATGTTAAGAATATCATCTCTATTTCAGTTAATTGAAGCTGTGGTTTTGCCTATGACACACAAAGAAAGATTTGAAGCTCTTGGAATTCAACCACCAAAAGGTAAAATAAATTTTTAAAATCACAAAATTGTATGCAGAGAAATACCTACACTAAAGATATGTTTTGAGCCATTCAACACATCACAGTTTTTTGCACAAGAATCAAGGGCTCTGCTGAATGCACTGCATTTGTGGAGAAAACAAAACATATTTACAGTGGAAAACAAATTTTTTTATTACATATACACTAAATGTTGAGTTGTTGAAATCGTTGAATTATTGCAGAGAAAAAATATATTGAATAAAGTGCTACACATTTAAATATGGCACTTAAGATTCAAATATCCAGAAATCTCTGACAATGATCATAATTGAATGTTTTAGGTGTATTATTATATGGACCACCTGGTACTGGTAAAACATTATTAGCCAGAGCTTGTGCTGCACAGACAAAATCAACCTTTCTTAAACTAGCTGGTCCACAGTTGGTACAAATGTTTATTGGAGATGGAGCTAAACTTGTTAGAGATGCTTTTGCTTTGGCTAAAGAGAAAGCTCCTGCTATTATCTTCATTGATGAATTGGATGCTATTGGTAAGATCTCATTTTTACTTGACAGAGAACATTTCTGTATTTCTTGTTGGTGGTGCTCTATTTTAGTTCTGAACAGGTTCTGCCTGTTCCTATAGTGGCCTCTATCGAAGGGCACAGAACCAGATTATGTCACATTCAAATTTTCCCTTCTATTCCTCTCGTGGCCATTCCTGAATCCTGAACGTGCAGAACTCAATAATCCAGCGGACGTCTTATGTGGTGTGAAAATCGAGTTACTTCCCTTGTAAGGTCAGATTGCAGAAGATATAAAAAAAATTACAGAAAATTGAATTATTTGCTTTTTCTTTCAGGAACCAAAAGATTTGACAGTGAAAAAGCTGGCGACAGAGAGGTTCAAAGGACTATGTTAGAGTTACTAAACCAAATGGATGGATTTCAACCTAATCAGATGGTTAAGGTAGGGGGCATTTAATAATTTAATAATACTACTTTAAGGGCTACTAAAAGCTTTAGGCTGGATCTGAATCAAGAAAGATCCTCAAAATTCATCAAAAGTAATATGTCATTTAGAGTCAAGTAGTAAAGGAACTTTTAAGAAATCTATATCAATTCTTAGGTAGATCATTTTTATAATCCCACATCTCTCTATGTGGATGTATATTTTCGGCACCCCTGTCCGTTCGTTTGTTTGATGGAATCAAATGAAATTCGGTGGGTGTATACATATTCTTAAAACGAAGATCAAGTTCGAATTTGAGCTATTTTCGAATATTAGAAGGAGAGTTATTGCCCTTGCCCCTAAATCTTTAATATTTACCATCTGCATGCCGTGGTGGGCGTATATGGCTGTGGTCCACTATCTTTATATAAAAGAGACTTCACCAATGCCAAAGGGATCCTATATGGATAAAAGTTTGAAGGAAACTCATTCAAATTACACTCCAAATGAGATAAGTTTTGAATTCATTCCAGGTTATTGCTGCTACAAACAGAGTAGACATTTTAGATCCTGCTTTATTAAGATCTGGTAGATTAGACAGGAAAATAGAATTCCCACATCCTAATGAGGAGGCTCGTGCCAGAATTCTACAAATTCATTCCAGAAAAATGAATGTTAGGTAAGTTAAATACAAATTGCATATATATGACTGATCTGAAGTCTGAAAGTATGCAGTTACAGCTAAATTTTACTTATAGTACAAGCATGTATAATGTGCACCCCTTCTCTTTGAGTGGAAATGTCTGTCACTATAGATAATGCTCTAATCCCTTTAAGTTTAAAAAAAAAATCATTGAATGTATAAAATCAGAAGATTTTGATATAATGAGAAAAAAATTCATGGCCTTTGTTAGACTTTTCATACTTGATACTGTTGTAACTTGTACAGGGTTTTAAATACATCAAGGCAAATGTTCTCTGAAAAAGATTTTTGGCAATATAAAAACATTGTGAAGCTTTTTCACCTTTTTACAATATATATAAAGAAACCTTTCTATAATAGGGTAAAAATTAAAAATGAACCCCTGCCTCTTAAGAGCAAGAGCATGACTTTGAGTGATCATGATAACAAAGACCTTAAGTCATTTTTAATGCTCTAATAATTTTTATATGTTCTGAATAACAATCTGGTTATTATACTATCTATTATTAATGACAGAGATGACCAGAGACAGATTAAATATTTGATCATGTATTGAATCTAGTTTTTTTGGCACTATAATTTTTTTAGTGTTATTTTAAGTACTGTACCCAGTTTTCATCTTAATAAGTTGGCTATTGGCATTTTAAATATATTTCTCATTACATCTTGAATTTTATATTAACATATAACATTACAAATAGGAAACCTTTTTATACGCCCACACGTAAGATGGGCGTATATTGTAATCACCCCGTCGGACCGTCCGTCCGTTCACATTTGGCTCGTGCTCACTCTACAGGCTACAGTTCTTTATGGATTCTTTTGATTTTTATTGTGTGTCAATGTCATTATGAAGATGATCCCTATTGATTTTCGTGATGATCGGATAATTTTTCACCGAAATATCGTGTCTGACTTGACATTTTTCTCTATTAGCTATATTGTGCAACTCGTGCTCACTCTACAGGCTACAATTTTTTACAGATTCTTTTGATTTTTGTTTTGTATGTCAATGTTGTTATGAAGATGATCCCTATTGATTTTCGTGATGATCGGATAATTTTTCACCGAAATATCGTGTCTGACTTGACGTTTTACTCTATTAGCTATATTGTGCAACTCGTGCTCACTCTACAGGCTACAATTCTTTACAGATTCTTTTGATTTTTATTTTTTATGTCTATGTCGTTATGAAGATGATCCCTATTGATTTTCATGATGATCTATCGATTTTCATGATGATCGGATAATTTTTCACCGAAATATCGTGTCTGACCTGACGTTTTACTCTATTAGCTATATTGTGCAACTCGTGCTCACTCTACAGGCTACAATTGTTTACAGATTCTTTTGATTTTTATTTTGTATGTCAATGTCATTATGAAGATGATCCCTATCGATTTTCACCGAAATATCGTGTCTGACTTGACGTTTCACTCTATTAGCTATATTGTGCAACCCTCTAGTCACTAAAGACTGTTTAATCATTTCTGACAGCTGCCATTTTACCCATTGCAAGCTATCTTTTGTTTAATGAAAGATTTTAAATTGATTTCTGGAAAACAACCCCTCTAAATCAGCATTTTTAGTGATACTAATTACTTTAATTACACTAGCAGTTGTTATTGTCATACTATAATTATATTTACAGTAAAGATGTTAATTATGAAGAATTAGCTAGATGTACTGATGATTTTAATGGTGCTCAGTTGAAGGCTGTTTGTGTTGAAGCTGTAAGTAAAGTTGATATTGATGCTGGTTATTGGCGATTGCTCTACATGATTTGAACCTCAAAAAGTGGGGGTTTACTATGGATCTTAGATCTCCAGATGGATTTCATGCTAAATAGTGATTAAAATTCCATCCAGGTATTTCTTACATATGTCAGAAAAGGTCTTTACAGAGATAAGTGAAGAATGATGTTTTATGTATATTTTCAGGGTATGATAGCTTTACGTAGAGAAGCTGCAGAGTTAAGTCATGAAGATTATATGGATGCTATAATAGAAGTACAGGCTAAGAAGAAAACGAACCTGCAATATTATGCTTAAATTGTCTGTAACAGACAAAAATGATATATTATGTATTCTTTATGTTAGTCCATTAAGATGGGAGATCAATAAATGTTGAAATTCAGAGATTGTTTTTTCTACAAAGTTCCATTATTATGCCTCTAGACATCCAGAGGCAAGTATGAATAAATCATACGAACAAAACAATAACTGGCTCTATGCAGAAATATGTCAAGTTGACAAACCAATTGACATCAGTTGCTCCAGTTGAATCGTCAAGTGAATTTTACACTAAACTTGAAAAGACTGAATTGGCAGCTTTGCCACAATGGCAAATAGACTTTTCTTCTGAAACAATGGTAAACAGTTATTTTGTATTGAAACACTGACAAATAGCTTTTATTCACTTATAATGGTAAATAATTTTTGATATTGAAACAATGGCATACAATTATCACATGAACAAGATGCAATACCATTACAGTTTCTTTTAAAACATTTACAGTTTCTTCTGAACAAATTACAAACAGTTTAAACAGAATAATCTTCTTAAGAATTTTCCTAGTGATGAGTGTTTAATTTCACAAAATCTGACTCCAACCTCCTGCAATTTTAGGATAACTCCATGTCAGATTTTTAATAATTATAAAAAAAGGTATGGTCAGCTGAATTTGAACTGATGAGCATATATTTAGATGATTCATTATTTTTCATTAAAACAACAAACTTTCTATGAAAATACTGATTCAAGATCCTCAACCTTTAGTCATACACTTATTTCAAAAGGATTTTCAATTTGTAAAAAAAAACTTGAACCTAAAGAGGCAGTCTTACTGTTAGGTCTCACTGCCTCATCAATTATACCTCTATCAAAGAGGGAATACAAAGAACATGTTGAAAATGAAACAAGCAGAGAAGCAAAGAGACAGAAATTTGATTTTTAAAGAGGGAGATGACTAAAATTGTATGATTTTGACTTGATTTTTCGAAAATTTTCTTGGAGGAGGCCCAAACCCCCACCAATGGGAGGGCACACCCTCCCATTCTCTCCCCCCACAACTATGTTGTCGGTGTGACCCCTATGGGGTCATCGGAATTTTCCTCTTTTTTTATAATTCCTTGCTCACATCCCTGAAAAGGGGTTATTCTTGGGTGATAATAAACTAAGTTTCGTCAAAATCTGTCATGAATTTTGCCTTCTTGAGTATTTTTGATCGATTGTTGACATTATAATGGGGAGTATAAAAAATAATACATGGATATTTTAATACATATTAAAGACACAGTCATCTAAATATTTTATAATCTTTTATCTGTATCACCTTTCAGAGAATAAAATTAATTTTTCAGCAAATGAACTATAAATGAACCAGTACAATAACATTTTTATGAGCAAAATCGATATTTAGATAACTATAAAATATGTTAATGGTAAAAATAACACAAAGTAAACTCAATAGAAAATAGCACATTCATGGACGGATTGAAAAGATGCTTTGATCCAGTTTGTGTATCTTCATTTTACACTGTGTCTCTTTCTTTAAGAATTATAGTAATGATGAAACTCCTCTCAATATATCTGAAAAAGAAACAACTATTGATTTAATAAAGAGAATACAGATATTGAAATTAGAATTAGATTTGCCACTATGTATGGTCAGCTGCCTTTCCAAAAGCAATCTGATTGAAGTGCTGATGTGATTGTTTGATACAAGATTTTGTGTGGGTGACTTCACGTGACTTTTAATGTACCACAAAAGAACTTTATTTACCACAATTTGAAATTGAATTTCCCAAATCATAGCAACCCAGTTGAACGATCAAACAATGTACATGTTTATGACCACCACATGCTGATAGTCCACAATCTAATTTATAGAAACCCAGGAATTATATTACAATTAATTACTTTCACAGGAACAGGTCACATCATTGTTATAACCTAAAAGACTAAGGTTTTTTAATTTATTGCTAATAAATGTATCATGAAAATAGTATGCATTTAGCAATAAATATCATAATTAATATTATGGATATCTTTTGTTTCATGCAAAATGGAACTTTTTCAATCCCGATTCAAACCAGATTATATAACTATGCTTATAATATATAATAATATTTAGTATTAAGTTACAACCTATATTGAAGCATAAAGCAAATTGATTAGCAAACCAATTCACAAACTTCATTCTACTTCTTAAGAGAATAGTTTTCAATAACAAAATTCAAAACTGAATAAAAGCACAAAATATATTTTAGATTGAATAACAAATCAATTACCATATCAAACCATAAAACATTCATATTGAATAACAAATCAATTACTAAATCGAACCATAAAACATATTCAGATTGAATAACAAATCAATTACTAAATCGAACCACAAAACATATTCAGATTGAATAACAAATCAATGACTACATCAAACCACAAAACATTCAGATTGAATAACAAATCAATTACTACATCAAACCATAAAACATTCAGACTGAATAACAAATCAATGACTACATCAAACCATAAAACATATTCAGACTGAATAACAAATCAATGACTACATCAAACCATAAAACATTCAGATTGAATAACAAATCAATTACTACATCAAACCATAAAACATTCAGATTGAATAACAAATCAATGACTATATCAAACCATAAAACATATTCAGACTGAATAACAAATCAATGACTACATCAAACCATAAAACATTCAGATTGAATAACAAATCAATTACTAAATCTAACCACAAAACATATTCAGACTGAATAACAAATCAATTACTAAATCGAACCACAAAACATATTCAGATTGAATAACAAATCAATGACTACATCAAACCACAAAACATTCAGATTGAATAACAAATCAATTACTATATCAAACCATAAAACATATTCAGACTGAATAACAAATCAATGACTACATCAAACCATAAAACATTCAGATTGAATAACAAATCAATTACTAAATCGAACCACAAAACATATTCAGACTGAATAACAAATCAATGACTACATCAAACCATAAAACATTCAGATTGAATAACAAATCAATTACTACATCAAACCATAAAACATTCAGATTGAATAACAAATCAATTACTAAATCGAACCACAAAACATATTCAGACTGAATAACAAATCAATGACTACATCAAACCATAAAACATTCAGATTGAATAACAAATCAATTACTAAATCAAACCACAAAACATATTCAGACTGAATAACAAATCAATGATTACATCAAACCATAAAACATTCAGGCTGAATAACAAATCAATGACTACATCAAACCATAAAACATTCAGATTGAATAACAAATCAATTACTAAATCAAACCACAAAACATATTCAGACTGAATAACAAATCAATGACTACATCAAACCATAAAACATATTCAGATTGAATAATCAGTTGAACCTGCACAAAAACCATGATGGTACGAAGATGGTAAAACTTTTTACAAAACAAATTGGGTCTGTGAACCAGTGAGTGATAAAGTGATACTACGTCGTAGAATTAACATAAAATTTAAGAATTTTAAACTTGGCGAATAAGAGCCAGTAGATATACCTGGTGTCATAAATAACATGACAGGATCCTTATATATAACAAAACACAAGACAATATTATGGAATATAACACACTTCTTTATTGTTATATGTGCTTCTCGCTTCAATAAGTCGTTCAAATCTTATAGGATCCTTATATAATCCAATAAATTCAAAAAACTTAATAATTGTCCATAATATCAAGATTAAATGTTTTCAATAGTTACCAAGTTTTATGAATTTTCCAATTTTACAGGGATTCTGTTGTAACTTTATGACACCAGGTAAGCTAACTGATGAATATACTATACTCATATTGACCATTTCAAAACTTTAATTTTATGATCATTCTAAGACGTAGTATTATTTGAATAAGCAAAATATTACAAAATGAACAAACTAAAAAAATTGACAGTTTTACTGTCAAAGGCTGCCATTTTCTACAAAACAAGTAATTTGACCCCATACAGTTTCACATATGTGAATGTCTTATCTAATGATATCTATTGTACAAGAAACAATTGACCCATTCTCAAAACTAGCAAGATTATATAACACTTTAATCAGCTGCTTTTCAACATGACTTATTTAACAAATGACCCAACTGTGGCATTATTTACAACATAATAAGCTCTGGCCAGGACACACATATCCATTATTTAGTTCATCAGGATTAAGTTACTCTATTAATAGTTCCAGCATACTTCTCAACTTCTGAGAAATGATTAAAGTTTTTTACCTCCATAGCATGACAATCTAAAACCAACATATTCTGCATTGAACAAAAATGGGAAGCAATTTGTATGGACATTAACATCAATATCTGCATAAATGTATAAGCACAGCATTTTGAGTAGCACCATTTAAAGTTATATAATTTCCAATATATGTCTGTATGTCATATAACTTGCATTGAATGTCAGATAATTTCCATTGAATGTCAGATAATTTCCATTGAATGTCAGATAATTTTCATTGAATGTCATATATTTTCCGTTGAATGTCATATATTTTCCATTGAATGTCATATAATTTCCATTGAATGTATTTTCCATTGAATGTTAAATAATTTCCATTGAATGTTATATAATTTCCATTGAATGTCATTAAATTTCCATATATTTTTCATTGAATGTCATATAATTTCCATATATTTTCCATTGAATGTTATATAATTTCCATTGAATGTCATTTAATTTCCATATATTGTCCATATATTTTCCATTGAATGTCATATAATTTCCATATATTTTCCATTGAATGTCATATAATTTCCATATATTTCCATTGAATGTTATATAATTTCCACTGAATGTTATATAATTTCCATTGAATGTCATTAAATTTCCATATATTTTCCATTGAATGTCATATAATTTCCATATATTTTCCATTGAATGTCATATAATTTCCATATAATTTCCATTGAATGTCATATAATTTCCATATATTTTCCATTGAATGTTATATAACTTCCATTGAATGTCATTAAATTTCCATATATTTTCCATTGAATGTCAGATAATTTCCATATATTTTCCATTGAACATCATATAATTTCCATATATTTTCCATTGAATGTCATTTAATTTCCATATATTTTCCATTGAATGTCATATAATTTCCATATATTTTCCATTGAAAGTTATATAACTTCCATTGAATGTCATTAAATTTTCATATATTTTCCATTGAATGTTATATATTTTCCATTGAATGTTATATAATTTCCATTGCATGTCATATAATTTCCATATATTTTCCATTGAATGTTTTAAAACTTCCATTGAATGTCATTAAATTTCCATATATTTTCCATTGAATGTCATATAATTTCCATATATTTTCCATTGAATGTTATATAATTTCCATTGAATGTCATATATTTTCCATTGAATGTTATATAATTTCCATTGAATGTCATTAAATTTCCATATATTTTCCATTGAATGTCATATAATTTCCATATATTTTCCATTGAATGTTATATAATTTCCATTGAATGTTATATAATTTCCATTGAATGTCATATAATTTCCATATATTTTCCATTGAATGTCATATAATTTCCATATATTTTCCATTGAATGTCATATAATTTCCATACATTTTCCATTGAATGTCATATAATTTCCATATATTTCCATTGAAGGTTATATATTTTCCATTGAATGTTATATAATTTCCATTGAATGTCATTTAATTTCCATATATTTTCCATTGAATGTCATATATTTTCCATTGAATGTGATATAATTTCCATTAAATGTCATATAATTTCCATTAAATGTCATATATTTTCCATTGAATGTATTTTCCATTGAATGTCATATAATTTCCATTGAATGTCATATATTTTCCATTGAATGTCATATAATTTCCATTGAATGTATTTTCCATTGATGTCAAATATTTTCCATTGAATGTTATATAATTTCCATTGAATGTTATATAATTCCCATTGAATGTCATTAAATTTCCATATATTTTCCATTGAATGTTATATAATTTCCATTGAATGTTATATAATTTCCATTGAATGTCATTAAATTTCCATATATTTTCCATTGAATGTTATATAATTCCCATTGAATGTCATTAAATTTCCATATATTTTCCATTGAATGTTATAGAATTTCCATTGAATGTTATAGAATTTCCATTGAATGTCATATAATTTCCATATAACTTCCATTGAATGTCATATAATTTCCATTGAATGTTATATAATTTCCATTGAATGTCATTAAATTTCCATATATTTTCCATTGAATGTCATATAATTTCCATATATTTTCCATTGAATGTCATATAATTTCCATATATTTTCCATTGAATGTCATATAATTTCCATTGAATGTCATATAATTTCCATTGAATGTTATATAATTTCCATTGAATGTTATAGAATTTCCATTGAATGTCATATAATTTCCATATATTTTCCATTGAATGTCATATAATTTCCATTGAATGTTATATAATTTCCATTGAATGTCATATAATTTCCATATATTTTCCATTGAATGTCATATAATTTCCATTGAATGTCATATAATTTCCATTGAATGTTATATAATTTCCATTGAATGTTATAGAATTTCCATTGAATGTCATATAATTTCCATTGAATGTCATATAATTTCCATTGAATGTTATATAATTTCCATTGAATGTCATATAATTTCCATATATTTTCCATTGAATGTCATATAATTTCCATTGAATGTCATATAATTTCCATTGAATGTTATATAATTTCCATTGAATGTTATAGAATTTCCATTGAATGTCATATAATTACTTTGTGACCTATACCGTAAGACTTTGTTATCAACATTGACAATTACTGATGTTTTTAAAAATAATAGAGATGAAACATAAACCAGTGCTTGATAATATAGATAATGTCACTTGAACTTGAAATTTATGGCCTCAGATAAAACCATTTTAACCATTCGTTATTTTTTGACTGCTTGTAAGAGCCAGAGAAAACCTCATGTAAAAAGTGCAACAGAAATTGTATTAAAGGGATTTAAAATGTTAAGGTTTCTGGCCTTAGTGAACACATCAAAAAGGAATTAAGGAAAGCAATAAAAGTCGAAGTTTATCTTTGCACACAGATGAAAATGGCAACTGAATAGAAATTCAACTTCAAGTTAAACATTGTCCAATTGAAAGGCAATTTTGCCACCATTTAATAGTTCTCAAGTAAAAGAATATTTTGAGTTTAAGTGTGAGGTTGTGACGTTTTAAAGTCGCTTAGTAGACTAGTCATCTAAATCATCTGCCGCGTATCTGCCGCGTATTTTCTTAGTTTGAGTGTTTGAAAGTCCAAACTATAGTACCAGGTTCCTATAAAGATTTCTGTCTTCGGTCTGGACCAGGTCAATATAAAAAGTAAAAATTTAGATTACAGTAAATCAAATGACTGTTCTTAAATGTAGTTGGAATGTAATTTGAGACCATTCTCGACACAATTATCTGTTGAACTCTTTTTGAAGAAGTTGAGCATGCACAGTAAATCATTCTGAGAAGATTAGCGTTTACACAACAATTTATATAGTCAGTTGTCAGAACCTGGAAGAGGTGGGCCAGAATTGGAACAGTTGTAAGAACGTTCACATAACACAAATTCTTGCATTCCATTCTGTTTGACGACAGAAAAATTTTGTAATATAAAAGGGGTTTATTGAATTTAAAGGCCAAGTAGGGTCACATATTAATTGACACAAGAGCACATGATAACCAAAATGAAATGTTCACAAATTTATCTCTGAAACTGATAAAGTTTGATGATAAGTTGACTGAGAGACTGATGAGTTATGTTATGATAAACTTAACAAGTTGTCAAATTATGTTATCACAATAAGATTTATTGTTATCTGATATAACCTAGTTTAATGAAAGTTCTGAAATACTTAAAATGTCAAATCTCGCAGTCTTTTTTGTTTATCCAGACTGTACTGAAAAATTGGGTACTGTATAATTGGTTAAAACTCTTAATTATATGTAATAAGAACATAATGATATGATTAAGAATACATGATAATTCAATAGAAACACCAATTAATCAAATAGTTTGCTTAATTTGACACTAAAAATAAGGAAACCCATCTTTACTCATATTCATGATTAAAATGACCATGATGATGATAAATAGTCCAAACAGGCAACGAAACTAGTCTCAATGAAAAGTAAATAAAACCAATAGTCTTAATGGGGGAAAAAATACTACAAATTGAAATTAGCTCCAGTGGGAATGAGCCCAAATGGCAAGACGCCATTGATCAGTTGAGAAAAGCAACAAATACCTTCATAGGACTGTAATTTTTCATCTTTAAATTGTAGCTTTTCTGTGAGTTTCTGGTTTTCTTCTTGTAAACTTCTACACTCTTCTAATAAAGAGGAAAATGCACTATGGATAACTTCTTGAGCCATACCCGATAATTTATCTAATTCATCTAAAATAGATAAAATATGAGTTACATTAGTTCATTATACTAAGCAAGCTATTCAAATCCTAGTGGAAATTGCCAAAAACAAAATTTTGGAGAAGAATTTATATAGCCTTTTATAACACAATTCTACATGAAGCAAACATTGGACCTTCTCAGGTTTCTTATGTTTTCAGAAATGATGGACCTTTTGAGAAGGTGTAATGTTTGCTTCATGTAGAATTGTGACAGACAGTTAAATTGATTTTACAGTTCTCCTTTGATATTTGATGGAGAAATTACTATAAAAGAACATTTAGGTACGGTATAAAATAAATCTAAACATAACTCACTCTTTAATGTGACACTAGTTAAAGCTGATGTTTGCTTCTCATTTTCTTCGTTTATTTGATTGTTCACTACATTTGTTGTGTTATCCAGGATTAAGTCTGATTTATACAATATGTCCTGAGCACTAATATGTTTGTCTGTTATTTCATTCACAGTATTTTCATTGTCAGTAAACTCTTTAGCACTTATTGATTCACAGTAAATTTCTGGATCCACCTCAAATGCTACAAATTTCATATTTGATGTCACAGCGAAAGAAAAATGACTCCTTGAATATTTCCAGCTCAATAGTTTTTCTTCAGATTCTGTACACATAGCGTAAGCCTGAATTGGTTTAATATCTGTTAACAAAGGTTTATTTTGCTTTAAAAATGGTCTAATATCATTTAATAAATAGTATTTGTTGTTGTCACGAAGAAGGTACCGAACATGAAACACATCGTTGTAAATTACACAACCAACTACAGGGTCTGGCGCTAAAGGTGTCAGACGATCTTGACAATTGTTTCTCACATGTTCATCGACAAATTCATTTGTAGAATCACATTCTCTACTCGGCGAAATCATTCTAATTTTTTTTTCAAGATTTTCATATTCAACATCCCCATCATTAAAGCAACGTTTTAATGACGCAGGTTTCAATTCTCTAACTGGTGAATCAAAGTCTTTGCATCTTAGTTTTAATGATTCGTCATCATCATCTTTACCATAACAAACTGTTGCATCACTATCACTGATAGGCGATAAAGGAGTTTCACATTTATCATCAGATGTAAACGAGGGTTCAGCAGACACTACTGTTTTTGATTGAGATATATCTGGTAGAAGAGTAGAATCTGGTGATGCGATTCTATGTTTAGGTGATACAGAATTCAATGTTTCTGAACACTGGCTGGGTTTATATTTTTCTTTAGGTTTACGAAACACATCACTATTTTCTGATTGTTTGTGAAGTCTGTACATTTTCTTCAGATCTCTCAATGGAGCTTCTTGACGTCTAACTTCCTGTTGTGAAACTTTCTTTACTGAAATTTTCTCATCTATAGACAGATTTTCAGTGTTTGGACAGATTTTTACTAATGGTGGTGGTTCCTTCAAATATGATAATACTTTTGTCAAATCAGGAGGATTTTTTTCAGTTTCACCCATGTTTTGTAACACTGGCATTGATGGAGATGTCCTGGAAGTAGTATATCCTGAATTTTTAGTGGAATATGACTGAACACTTTGTTGTGGTGGAAGAACTTGTTGTGTTTCTGTTGGACGATGCCAAGAGGACATCGAGGCATTGCTTGCAGAGTCCACAGACAGAGATGGCCTGACTGTATACTGATTGAACTGAACATTAGTACCGGTACTTAATTGCTGAGGACAGACTGAATTAGACACATTAGTCTGTGTATTTGGTTTAGTATTTGTCCATGTTGAAAATCTTTGATCCATTACAGTGGAATGTTGGCTATATGTGGCCGGTGGATACTGAAATTGTGAAGATGAAGAATGCTGATTATCAGAGTTGTTTTCCGTGATCTGTGGTTGCTGTTCCTGAGATTGATGTATAGGAAGAGAATAATGGTTGATAAGTGTTGGACGGATTCTATGATCAAGTGGAGGAGGTGTAATTCGTTGTTGCTGAAAGCTATGCTGTCTTTCAACACTTAGTTGGTACTGTTGTTTCTGCTGATAATGTCCTGATGGAATTGTTGCTGTACCAGTATCTTGAGATATATTATATAAAGATTGAGCTGCAGTGTGATATTCATTTTGTTGACTCAACTGTTGCTGTTGGTGCCGGTTCCAATGTTGATGTGCTGTAAACTTTGAAACTTGTGACTGGTTGTATGAAACATTACTGAACTGTGCATTATGATTGTAATTATGCTGCTGTTTTTGTGGGTAATGTTTTGAATAATATTGAGGTTGGTGAAGCATGTTCTGGGTAATTTGGTTATTATGCTGTTGATACATTTTCTTATTCTTTCAAAACATCACTATACACCTGAAGTATAAAGAACATCTGTTATGAAAGATCAAGATCAAAATCAAAAGTATATAAATTTTTCCCCATAAATGTGTGCTTGGAGAAAGCAAATAATTCAAACTATTGTTCCAAAACGTTGTTGTGGGAGAACTCTCTCAGAGCACACTCTCCCTGGGAGATGAAGCATTTTAACCTCAAAAGTTGTAAAGAAAAAGTCTATCCCCTATTTGTACCCCCACTTTCAAGAGTCTGGTGGCGCCACCACTTAGAACAGGCCTTTTTCTTGTCATATGTGCTTTAAATATTTAACATTTGAACTGTCAGATAAGATAAGCCTATTATTAAAAGGGCAGTAGGCAAAATTTCATTACAAAAAAGTTGTAAACTATAAGCTTATATATGAAAAGATTTCTAAAATGTGCTATACCACTATGTATCTACTTAAACAACTTGTATTTAAAAAAGGGTAAAAAAAAAAATGGAGTGTAGCCAACTAGTTGTTAGTTTTAGGTAGGAGACTTTCAATTTGGCACTTTAGATCTGCTAACTTTAAATAAGTCTACATTGTAATCTAACAATTTTTCTACCAAAGGCCTGTCTCAAGTATAGTATTTTTTAAACATATTTCATTCTCATCATTAGAACAGATCTTTCGTAGAAACCTATACAGATTACGATGTAGACTAAAAAGATATCCGAAACAAAAAAGATACGAAATTCTAATTTAATTCTAATTAGATTGACTTTAATCAAACCTTTTCCTTATTAAACTTATTTGGACTATATAAACCTCTAACTTAGTTAATTAAAGAGTTAGATGCTAAGCGTTAAAGCAAACACCTGGGCGATTCTAGGGAGCACTGACTGAGCCATCAATTTATACTGTCTTACCTTTAAACTCCTTGTATTACTCCTAAGTGTTACTGATACTGAGTGATATATAATATTCACGTTGGGATAAGACCAAAGCTTACACAAAAAAGAAAAGAATTATTTGAATCTAATAAAAGAAATTATAACCACCTGCTCAGTGGTAGTACAACACCCATGGTACTTCAAGTATGTGCGATAATTTTCCATTCAAAATAATATAAGAAATGTTCAATGGATATTTGAACACGGTCATCGACATCAACAATGAGTGGCCACTGACTAGGCCTACTACTAATAAAGCCATGTCAAGAAGACGTTCAGTTCAACAAGTTATAATTTTGAGCTTACTTGCAATGGTCTTGATTATTTTCTTTAATTTCTCTTTTCTCTGATCACCAAATAAGAAATCCTTATCTTCTTTGTCATTATTCCTTTACTCTCTTAGGTCAAATTTTACTAAAATCCACACGGATTCTTTTCGCCTTCACACAATCAACCCAAATAATAGATAAAAATAGAACTGCGTCTGCCAAAAATAATAACAAGCGGTACAGGCTAATACAGCTCTATATTTCGTAGGAGTGTTAACTTGTACCGCCTTGAAATCATTTTCAGGATACGGGCCTTATCCCGCCCAGTAGCAGAGCCACCTCTAATTCTCACAAAATTTTTGCTACGTCAACTGACAGTAAGCGATTGGAAATTCATCTGAGAAGGTCGATAAGATTAGGATAGCAATATCCTATGGCTGCAATATATTGGATTCTTTATCTGGCTTTGTAGGTGGTCATTTGAATGTCCGATTTATCACAAGAATAATTCATTTGTAGGTTCATTCATTTTTATGTGGACGTATACTGTTGTCACCTATGAGTGTCCGTCGGTTCGTCCACAATTGCTCGTAAACACTCTAGAAGGCACAATTCTTGAATGATTTTGACGAAACTTGGTATGATTGTTTGTTATCACCCAAAGATGAACCCAATGGAAAATCAAAAAATCGAAAAATATTTAGTATGAATTATTGCCCTTGTTCTTGATATGCTCGTCAACACCATAGAAGGTGCAATTCTGAACGCATTTTAATGAAACTGGGGGTGAGTGTTTGCTCTCACCCAAGGATGAACCCTATTGAAAATCGAAAAATAATTAGTGTCATATGAGTTATCACCCTTGTTCTTGAAACGCGTTCAATTTTAACTTGTAAATACTCTAGTAGGTTCAATTATTGACAGATGTTGAGGAATTAACTTGGTGTAAATGTTTTGTTATCACGCAAGGATGAACTCTATCGATAATCAGAAAAATTGAAAAGTATTTAGTATGAGTTATTGCCCTTGTTCTTAAAAATGCGTTTAAAATTTTAGCACGTAAATACTCTAGAAGGCATAATTCTTGACGGATTTAGATGAAATTTGGTGTGAGTGTTAATCATTTTAAACACTATTGAAAATTAGAAAATCAAAAACTATTTAGTATGAGTTATTGCCCTTGTTCTTGAAAACGCGTTCAATGTTTGGCTCGTAAACGCTCTAGAAGGTTGAATTATTGACAGATTTTGACGAAACATATTGTAATATTGCTACATTAGTCCAGAAGTCAAATAGGGGCAATCACGGGTGGTAGCCTCTGTAAACTTCAACACCTTTAAATTAACATCTGCGTGGTGGTTATGTAAGTAAGTAGAAACAAAAGAAGACCTATCCATGTCGGCAGGGAAGGAGACCCTGAGAGATTAAGAAACTACAGAGGTATACAAAAGGACTCGTTTATGCTCGGTCGGGCATGGCTATTAGGGTTAAGCAACAACAAAGGTTATTTTTACGAAGAAATATTTCATATGTTGGCCATCTGGGGGGAGAGATAAATAGGAGTGTAGTTAGTGTTTGGGTCATTCATTCATTAGCTGGGGAGAAGATCGGATCGTTCTAATTTTCTAAGAGTCTTGGGTATACTTCTTGGATTATAACCTAGGTGAAAATTAAAGTTTTTTATTTAAAGTGATACTACGTTTTAGAATAAACATAAAATTGGCCAATAAGAGCATTCATCAGTAGATATGCCTGGTGTCATAAATAACATAACATTATATATTCCTAAAAAAACTTAATAAAAATGCAATTAACTATTGAAAACGCTTAATATTATGATTAAGCGTTTTTCAATAATTACTAAGTTTTATGAATTTTCCAGATTTTACAGGGATTCTGTTGTAACTTTATGACATCAGGTAAGACTATTCTTGAGAATTAAATTTTACGTTCATTCTAAGACGGAGTATCACTTTAAAATTACAGGAATAATTACCTCCCCCAGGTGAAAATAATTATCACCTGTGAAAATTAAAGTTTTTAATTGAAAATTAGAGGATTTATCACCTAATTAAAGTTTCTAATTCAAAATAAAAAGTGAAATATGTCGCATGTGAGCCACCGTAGACTATGAATGGCGTGATGGCGAAAATTTATGACGAATTATGAGATGGCCGATTTTCTTTTGATTCCGATTGGCGAGAGAATGGTGCGTGATTGACTTCTGTAACAGTCTGGTGGCAAAACACCACATTTTGATGAAGTATTAGCATGGTGTTAATAATATTCATTTGAAGAAACAGATGGAATTGTCATTAGAAATAGAACAATATAAATTAATAACCAACGTGCAACAACTTATTTAGACCAAGTACACCAAGAGTTCAATATACAGATACCATCATTAAATGTCGCCTTCATATCTTTTACATATTAGATGTCATCAATGTCCTTTGTTCTTGGTCATTGATTGTCCGGTAGTTTAAATTGATAACTAAGGTAATTCCATACTGGTTTTAATGAGATTATTAATTACTTCCTCGGATGAATATAAATATGAGTGGAAAATCGGGAATGGACAGTCCAGTTAATAGTCCGTTTATGTATTATCAAATCTTGACTCACTATATATATAAGGGGCGTAAATAAAGTCATTATATATACAAGACGGGAATTGGAACGCTAGAAGCGTTTTGGAGTACATACAATGTTTGATTGTTTTTTCTGCTTCAGATAGCCTTTCTGAACACATTTTCACCGGATGCCACTTTGGCAGCCTTGGGGAAATTTACTATGGACTAAATTCAAAAAGGCCACCATCCTCAATATTCAAAACATTATTTCTGTCATAACTTTGCATCAAGGGCATCATTGGACATAATTTTGGTGTCAAAATAAATGTTTTAAGGTTCAAGGAATTCATTGTTGATGGTTTTTATTTCCTGTGGGCAGGTTATTAACATTGTCTCTTATTACGAGCCCAAAAACATTTGCATACTACCAGTCTAACAACCTTCCCTGATACTAGTCCTCCAACATTGCATACTACCAGTCTAACAACCTTCCCTGATACTAGTCCTCCAACATTGCATACTACCAGTCTAACAACCTTCCCTGATATTAGTCCTCCAACATTGCATACTACCAGTCTAACAACCTTCCCTGATACTAGTCCTCCAACATTGCATACTACCAGTATAACAACCTTCCCCGATACTAGTCCTCCAACATTGCATACTACCAGTCTAACAACCTTTCCTGTTACTAGTCCTCCAACATTGCATACTACCAGTTTAACAACCTTCCCTGTTACTAGTCTTCAAACATTGCATACTACCAGTCTAACAACCTTCCATGATACTAGTCCTCCAACATTGCATACTACCAGTCTAACAACCTTCCCTGATACTAGTCCTCCAACATTGCATACTACCAGTCTAACAACCTTCTCTGATATTAGTCCTCAAACATTGCATACTACCAGTCTAACAACCTTCCCTGATACTAGTCCTCCAACATTGCATACTACCACTCTAACAACCTTCCCTGATATTAGTCCTCCAACATTGCATACTACCACTCTTACAACCTTCCCTGTTACTAGTCTTCCAACATTGCATACTACCAGTCTAACAACCTTCCCTGTTACTAGTCTTCCAACATTGCATACTACCAGTCTAACAACCTTCCCTGACATTAGTCCTCCAACATTGCATACTACCAGTCTAACAACCTTCCCTGATATTAGTACTCCAACATTGCATACTACCAGTCTAACAACCTTCCCTGATATTAGTACTCCAACATTGCATACTACCAGTCTAACAACCTTCCCTGTTACTAGTCTTCCAACATTGCATACTACCAGTCTAACAACCTTCCCTGTTACTAGTCTTCCAACATTGCATGCTACCAGTTTAACAACCTTCCCTGATATTAGACTTCCAACATTGCATACTACCAGTCTAACAACCTTTCCTGTTACTAGTCCTCCAGTATTGCATAGTACCAGTCTAACCTTCCCTGATACTAGTCCCCCAACATTGCATACTACCAGTCTAACAACCTTCCCTGATATTAGACCTCCAACATTGCATACTACTAGTCTAACAACCTTCCCTGATATTAGACCCCCAACATTGCATACTACCAGTCTAACAACCTTTCCTGTTACTAGTCCTCCAACATTGTATACTACCAGTCTAACAACCTTCCCTGATACTAGTCCTCCAACATTGCATACTGCCAGTCTAACAACCTTCCCTGATACTAGTCCTCCAACATTGCATACTACCAGTCTAACAACCTTCCCTGATATAAGTCCTCCAACATTGCATACTACCAGTCTAACAACATTATCCTACATTTAGTCCTCCAACATTGCATACTACCAGTCTAACAACCTTAACCAACATTGCATACTACCAGTCTAACAACCTTCCCTGACATTAGTCCTCCAACATTGCATACTACCAGTTTAACAACCTTCCCTGATACTGGTCCTCCAACATTGCATACTGCCAGTCTAACAACCTTCCCCGATATTAGTCTTCCAACATTGGATACTACCAGTCTAACAACCTTCCCTGATATTAGTCCTCCAACATTGCATACTGTCAGTCTAACAACCTTCCCTGATATTAGTCCTCCAATATTACATACTACCAGTCTAACAACCTT